AATACACCGGCAAAGTCTTTCTTTTTTTTTCTTTGATTTTCATAAAAAAATTGCAATAAATATCCAATGTTCCATTTTTTTAGAAAATAATCATACATATTAGCGAATTTTTATGAAAATAAACAAAAATATTGAAAAAGAAAATATGAAATAAAAAACATCAGCAAATATAGCTAAACATCCATTCTTCAGACAATCCCGCAAGTTACGCGCATATTTCATTGTTTTCAATCTAAAAATCATAAATAAATAAAAAATTTTCCAAAGAAAATTTCAAACATTTTTTAACAAATAGAAAAATATTTAGAAAGAAAATTTTTAATTTTTTAAGTCAAGGCTTCTAGATTATGTTTAAAAAAATAAAAATGAAAAAATTCATACAATTTAGGAACTTATTCTTAAATACACAGTGATACAGCAAAAAAATGCAGGGGTTCTCATATACCAATTCCATTTCGTTATAGTCCATAGAGTAGGAATATATTTTTAATTTTTCCCGATCACTTCGTTTAGTTCCTTTTTAAGAGCAAAAGATGTGAAAAAGAGCTATTTTTGAAGTTTTAACTTTAAAAAAATATATGTTTGGTAGTTCGCAACCGATTTTCAAATTGGATATTTTGTTTTAAAGATACAAGTGTTGTCTTTCAACCCAAAAAAATAAATCCAAATTTTATGATTAATGTCTTGGTTACGGCCATTTAAGTAAAAAAACTCACATTTTTTTCACAATTTTTAATTTTCATTACGTTGGCCATGAAGCAGTAACTTTATAATAATCGATGAAAAAGGTTATGAGTTGTGCTAAGTTTTATAAAAATATTGCATATTTCTTCCATACAAAAACGTTCATGTTTCTAGTTTTCTTTGTAACAAGTTTAAAAAATGTTTATAAACATTTTTATACAAAAATTAATTTGTATGGAGAAAACCAAAAATTCGAGGAACATGCTATTAGAAAAATTGGCATAAATCATCCAGTTTTTCATAGATTTTTATGAAATAACAAGTTTTAGAAACCTTCCTTTATGTGATTCTTCAGGAAAGTAATAAAAGATGAACTCACTGCCTCATGGCCAAAGTAGAGCATGATGAAAATGAAAATTTTAAAAAAAAAATGTGAGTTTTTTTACTTAAACGACCGTAACTCAGACATTTGACCATAAATTTTGGATTTCTTTTTTTGGAATAAAAGGCAACACTTGTAACATTAAAAAAAATATCGGATTTGAAAATCGGATGAAAACTACTAAACTTATGATTTTTCAAATTAAAAACTTCAAAAATGGCTCTTTTTCGCATCTTTTGCTCTTAAAAAGTAAGTTAACGAAGTGATAGGGGAAAACTAAAAATATATTCGTACTCTATGGACTATAACGAAATAGAATTGGTATATAAGAACGCCTGCATTTTATTTTTCTTCACTTTTGTATCACAGTGATATTATTAACTATAGTCAATGAAAGCTGTTCACAATATTTATGCTCAAACTTTTTTCTGTGTATATTATAAAATATTTTTTCATTCTAACTTTAACTTTCAAACATTAAAATACATTTTGTAAAAATAAATAAGTTTTGTGAAATAAATTATCACAAAAGTAGATGTTTACGTTTTTATGATAAGTCCAGATTATTAACCCAAAAAATTTAAAGATGTATGCTTATCACATAAGCTTTGTTATTTCTGTTATATTAAAAAAAAAACACAAATTAAACTTCCTTTCATTCTTATCACATTTCACTTGAGTTTGAAAATTTCAACATTGCACCTTAAAAAACAAACTTGCACAATATTTGTGACACAATGAAAACCGCAGTTGTTTTGATAAAAATATAGAACTATTTTTCAACCCTATACCATTATAAATAGTAAATAGTTGTAGCAGTCGATTTGTGAAAGTATATTAGACATATCACTAATTTACGTACTACAAGACCGGCATAAATCAAAAAAATCCTTTTGAGTAAAACAACATTGAATGTTTTATAAAAAAACGTAATATTTTCTAATACTCAGTTCAAAAAGCCGAATTTTGGATTAAGCCAGTCATGTAGTAAGTGAGCGATACGCAAATACATACTTGATAATTTTTTTTTACAAAATGTTTATGATTTTGTTAATGTAATAAACTCAATTATTATTGCAATAAATTTACATTGGACTCTAATTTTATAGTGTACCGTATAGTCGATCCTAACCACATACACTATTTTACTAAGTACATCCATATACATACATATGTATTTGTATGTGTAGTTATATTTTTAAGAACTCAAAACACAGTTTTCATTGGACCATTGACCATAAAACAACTAAAATATAATACTTAGTATTTATGTAGATGAATTTTAAAACAAATTAAAAATGTATCTCAAACTGGAACTGCATAAAATTTTTATAATTTTAAATATTTGCAAATTAATATTCTGTACACCACTGTACACGACACTGGAACCGTTTGTATGTGAAGTTACATGTCCACCAAATACAAAATGTGAGAGAGGCAATATATGCTCCTGCATTGACCGTTTATTGGAAGGCCAAGCTGATAAAAATAATCAAGATCTCCCCTATTGTGATGAAGAAAGTTCCACTACTACTGATTATACTATCGATAGCGAATGGATAGTTGAAGAAATTTTAAATGAAAATGATGTAAATTATGAAATTGATAAAAAATTAAGTGAAAAGATAATTAATGATGTGACACAAGCACCCAATGTTAGTGAGAGTGATATATCCACGACGAAAGAAGTATTCAGTGAAATAGATAATTATATAGAAACTACTGAAAATGATATTTCAACTATAAAAGTGAATATCAGTGAAGTGGATTATTATAGAGAAAATAATGATATGTTTTATGTAATTATAGGTATTATCTGTATTATAATGGCATTACTAATATTCATTTTGTTAATAATAAAAAGAAATTAAATTAGAAACATCTTCATTGTTTTCTTTTTTTATAACAAAAGGCAATATTACTTTCAATCCCTTGGCATAAAATTATGTATTTGTAATTCAGATTATTTAAAGTGTTGATAAAGAATCGACGAAAAATTTTTAAATCTTTCAGAATCTTTTTCGTACCTGATTCGAGATTATATATAATATCCAATAACCAACAAAGTCTAAATAAAATAAAACTTATTTAAATTCACTTATTTTAAAAAGTTATTTAAAAAAAAACTATGAAACGTTAATACAAAACAAACAGTTTTAGATTCTTATCAAACTACTTAACCACATTACCAACAAATGGAAATTTCTTAAACTTCTTTCACAAAAACACCTAAACAAATTGATCTGAGTTTTATTTGGATTATAAAAAGTTTATAAAACAAATTTTCCATACAAAGTTTGACTTATAAACCGTTTACAAAATATATGTTCGTTTATAAATAAAAGTATTTAACGATTTTTAATAATTTTGTAAAAAATCAAATCTTAAATAAAAAATCAATGGGTAAATTCAAAAAAAAAATGTAGACGTTATTTTTGATAAACCACAATATAGTTAGTACATGTCTTCCCTTATAACACAATATTTTGCAAATATGATCACATGGAGCCGAATTACTATAACAAAATTTCGAATTTATTTGGTGCTTTCAATTCGTTTAACCCCCAAATTTCAATTATCGTAAGGTTAAATTGAGAGTTTTTATACAAAAATTATTTTAATAGGCAGAATACCAACAGGTTGAACAATAACAATAAAGTTAATGGGCCTAAGAATGTATGTTCAGTAACCTGAATTTCCGCATGTTGAAGAGGTCGCCTTTTCATAAAGGGTAAACACTTGAACTGATCTATACAAAACAACAGTCAGTCGACTAGTACTATGTTAGTTCTTTTGTTTTGTAGTAAAAAACTGTATCTTGACTAATTAAAAAAAAAAAAACTTTTGAAGAAATGTTGAAGCAGATGATTTTTAAGTTCTCATTCTTAAATTGTGTAGGGAAGTGCTAGAAGATTTTGCATGAAGATGTCTTACACTTTTACATTTTTTATCTTATAGTTAAAACCAACTTACTGCATTATTGCATTGAGGATGCATTTCCGAACTTGCCTGGGATGGAGCCACAGGCTTAATGCCTTCTGGTCACGCATAGACCCAACGAATGTTCAGCCTGGGGTCAAGGTCCACCACATATTCAACTACTCAGCCAATCCTACTTCTCTTTGCCCAATGGATTTACGGGCACATCCAGTTTATTCCTGGACTTTGATGTATAACCCCCCAATAGATTATTGTATAGTTTTAGATGTTACAACAACAACAGTATACCAACGATTGATACTAAATACTGCTGTGATGATGGCTTTCCGAACAGGTCCAACTGATTAAGTTCAATATTTAAGAGATATGGACAGATGTTCAACAATTATCTTCAACAACAGTAACAAAAAACACCCTAACGATTGATACCAAATAGGATACTACAAGATACTAAACATTTAGAAGTTAGACAGCTCTACAGACATCATATTCACATAAATATCCTGTTTTAACGAAAAAATAAAACTTCAATATACTTCAACCTACTTTTCCCATGTTAAAAAAATGTCCTCACTAGGATAACATATTGGAGCACTAAAAACCCTTAACGTAAAAGTAATAAATAAAATTTTCATAGATTACAATGTACATTTCATATTTTCAACAACTTATGAACAAAAAATTATCTAAGTGATTTTATAGATAAATAGAATAAATATGTAGTTACCTCACAACAAATTAAAGTATTTTCTAAACAAAAATATTAAAATCACTTCAACACTTTAAAACACTTTTAACAAACTACTAAAGAAATGGCGCAAAAATATGACAGTTCCTAAACATAAACGAATAGCTCTAAAGCGGTGTTGCCATATTAAGTAACTAATACAAGTATTGAGCTTTTTACGTCCGAGCTTTTTTGAGCTTCCGCTTTGTAATTTCCTATCCTTATTTATCGTAATTTTCATTATTCAACATTTCAATTATAAACAAATTTTTAATTACAAAAAAACTCAACAGAGCTCCAGTTTTTTATTACTTTTGTCAGATGTTTATCTACAAATACTCTTCTTTTTTAAACAACAACTCCCAGCATGTTTTTTACAATAAAAATTGTATTGTAATTTGAGTTTGTTTTTCTGTTATTAATAATAATAATAAAGAAATAATTTATTTCTTGGACTTGATTTTCTTAAGATAGAATTCCAATTCTTTGCCTTCCAAAATGTAGCCATCAGCACGACCGCATTGACCGGGGCGGGATGAAATGCAGGCTGTAAGAAGTAACAAAATTTAACACATTAGTTATCTATGAGAAACATAAAATTTTAAGCTTATCACAATAATTTTTAATGAAAAACCAATCAGAGTAACTATGACAAGCAATATCACGCCCCATCGGCTTGTTGCAGAACTTAAAACAAGTCTGCAACAATAAAATTGATGGGATCGCTTTGAGGTATTAACATCACTTTGTTTTTCATTTCAAAATACTTTGGTTTATTTGGGATAACAACATACCTAAGAGACGACCAGAAACGAATTGATCTTCCAAAGCTTGTTCAACCTTGGCGTACTTTTGACGTTCCAAGTACTTCTTCATGGTCTTTTCACTACGTTTCTTGGTGAGGACATCATTGTCATCTTCCTTTTGTTGTTGCTTAGGGTTACGCTTGCGACCCAAAGGCAAAACATAGTGGGATTCATACCATTGACGGAAGGGAGTAGCGTCAATAACAACGATGCTGTTCTTTACCAAGGTCTTAGTACGGACCAATTCGTTGTTGGAGGCATTGTAGACGACATCGGCAATACGAGTCTTGCGTGCAACACCCTCGGAGGCCCAGGCGAAGTTACCTGTTTCAAGACGGAGGGCACGGAGCTTAGTGTTACCACCGCGAGTGCGAACACTGTGTACGCGGGGAGAACCCAACTAAAAACATATAAAGCACAAAATTAGTATACACTTCCAACAATATGAATTTAATTTTATCCTTTTACAATTATTATATAGAGAAAAATCAATCAGCAGTCCGAACATAATAACGCTATTCATCAATTGCTAAAAATTCCGTAGAACTTTTTGGTTACAGTTGACACGCGTTATCATCATTTTGATTTTTCCCTCGACAACAATCACAAATATGATTATCTGCAACTCACCTTGGTATTGGCAGCGGGACGACCCAACTCGAACTTGCGCTTCTTGCGCAAAGGTTTACGTTTGCCACCAGTGGCGCGGCGCTTGTGAGCACTATCGCGGCTAATACCTAGAATAATAGAATACTATTTTAGTACTTCCAATTTTAGCAATTTATATCAATAAAAAATGTCCAAGAAAATCTTTTTAGTTTTTTCATTCTAATGTACTTTGTATTTCACTTCAATTTCATTTCAACCGGCTTGAATTTGTTTGGCTTTTTTCTATAAATATTTTTTCAAGTTGTTTTTATTTTAATTTACCACTTTATTTCCATTGTTTTAAAAGTTTAATTTAACATTTTATTTAATTAATACTCATGGATGTCTTAAGATTTTCTTGAAATTTTTTCACTTTTCTAAAAACACAGCACTCACCCATCTTGAGTAAAAACAGAGAAGGAAAGGAAGCAAAAAAGAAACGCAATAGCTCGTGTCAAACGGTTGTCACATGTTTATTGTAATAGAATATGCGCAGTGTTGCATTTTGAAATGTCAAATGCTATGCGATGCTGTGTTTAGTTTGTATTTGCAAAGGGTATTCTGGGAATTAATCAGGTGTAAATGCGGAATTTTTTTATTATGAACATTTTGATAAGAATTTTTGTACATAATATTTCTTACATATATTACGTAACAAGAAGCAAAATATTAAACTGTTTACAACTAAATTTACTCAAAGTAAACAAACGAAAATGGAATTTTAATTCGTATTTTACTTTTATAAGTGAAATTGTAACATGATGTCAAGTATATGTTTTAATTAGAAAACTTTACAAAATTAAAATCCTTATTTTAATTACCCCTATTACTTATTTTATAGGACGATCACTATTGAAAATTGATGATAGTAATAAACTTGTCCCAATAAATATGTCCACCGAAAATTGACATAAAGGACCTTAACTTTGAAAATAATAATTTTTATATGTCCAGAAATCGAACTTCGAATTTTGTGATGATCGACTTGTGATTGATCATAAATCCTAATTCTGAAAATCAGTTAATAGTGAATTATGCTAAAAAAGTGTATTGATTTGGTTTTGCTTTTACTTTTGTTAATAGAATGTTTAATTTTTGAAAAAAAAATATTATTTTTTAAAAATCTACAAACACATGGCAACACTATATATAAATGTAATTTTTTAACCTGTGAATTACAGTGCAAAGTTACCAGATAAAACAACGGAAGTTAAATCTACTACAAAACTGCAAAGTTTTTATTTTTGTATTATTATATATAAAATCATTATTAATTTACATTTTTTAGTTTAATTATCTCCAAAAAATTTTTTTAGATGTCTATTGAAAAGTAATACGTCATTTTAATATATAATTCAATTCATTTATATATGTATATTCACCTTTTTAGACGTTTTCTATATCAATTGACAACATTTATTGCGGACAAGCTGGCAGCACTGGCATATTAATCGAAAGTGGTAGAATTTATGCGAAAGAAAATGTCAAAGCATAGGAAAAAAAGCAGACGCAATTAAAACAGGCAGCTGGATTTTTACACAAAACTTAACTTTATACAATTTTCGTTTAACAACTTTAATAATATAAAACGGCAAAGGACGCTTCAAAGTGTGTTAAAAAGCAAAAGGTGTGTGTAAATATTAAAATTGTGCTAAAATCAAATCATTTTAAGAAAATTTACGTGTTGAAATTTGTTATTGCAAAATATACACACACACACACCAATTCACAAATGAGTAATGCAAAAGCAGAAAAAATAAAATACATATATTTTAATTATTGATTATTCAATACAAAAATAAAACAAAGAAAAGAAATGATGAGCATAATTTCTGTTTCCATTCATATTTTAAAATTCGTGTAATTTTTGTAAAACAATTTACAAATTCCTGGCTAGTTGTACGTAATAGTGTATATGAGAAAAAGAATTAAACATTTTTGTGGTTTCGTCTGTAGTTTTCCTTTTATCCAATATTCTTTATATGCTCGTGTACGTGATTTTTGTTAACAACAACAATAACACTACAGATTTCTTTACATTACTTGAAGTATACCTGAAGGACATCGTGTGAATTAATTTAAATATATGTACCATATTTGAAAAATCATGTTTTAATTTAGATAAAATCTATTATAAATTTTTAAATATCACATTTTACACATGGCTACGATTTTTTAAAAGAAAAAAAAACTATTTTTTGTTTCTAGTGAGGTTAGCTTTTGTTTTTTTATTCCAAGATGTGTGTCAAATTTTGCATTCAAGTGTGAAAAATGCCTTTTTTAAGATAATTTTTAATACCTATCTTGTTTTTCTTCTCGTGTAATATTCCGTTGCACTCTTAAATATTTATTATCGCTCTCTTTTGACAGTTCATTTATTGTTATCTCTTTCTGTACGACAGTTGTTTTTATTTGTTTGTTATTTTGTAAACAAAAAAAAAAAAAATTGTTGGCATCGTTTTAAATATTTTCTATTCAAAAACAAATAAAAATATGTATTTTTGATTATTGTATTATTTATTATTTGTCTTTTCTACAATACAGTACATGTTTTGTTGTCGATTTAATCCCATAAATAGGAAAATTAATTTTTGAAATTTATTGTAATTTAGAACTATTTATTTATTTCCCTTTTTATTACTTAAATCATTTAAGTTAAATGTTTAAAAATAAAATTTTACTTTCAGATTTTATGAGTGTCGCGTTAAAAATGGACACAGTTTTGAGTTCCGGAGGCTCGAATGCCTCTGGCGATAGTATTGGAGGTGTAAGTAATAGCAGTAATGGTGGAAATGGTAACAGCAAATCTCAACGTTTTGGAGATTCTACTCATAACAATGGCGTTAATGCAGAAGTCAAAAAATTTATCAGTAAGTAAAAAAATTTCATAACCATATTAGCCTCTTAAGTTTTAAAATTAATCTCAGATTTATTGAAATAAACGGATTCTATAACAACAAATCCTTTTGAAGACCACTAGTTTGATACTCTTTTTCTGATCAAAGCTCTAATAGAACAATGTCCGGTTCATGTCCCTACAACTAGTGCTCTGGTTGCATTAGCATCAAACTTTAGCCATGTGGCTACTCTTAACGATTAGTTGTAATATTTCAATGATTTTCATTACCCTATCTGTTACAAACAGGGTGCAAACTTTCTGACCCAATATTATATCTTATATTTATTAATTTTTTACTATAATTTTTATTCTATATTTATTTCTGTAGACAACTTTATATTGTGGTCAAGCAGCTAGATGATGAGAAAAAACAAATTTCAGGCATAACTCAATTATTTCAAAATGAATTGGAACAAAAGCGTGCTCAACTCGTGCAATTGTGTATACAAATTATCTTCAAAGATTTTCAATCGGTTGGAAAAAAGGCTCGAGAGATTATGTGGCGCAAAGGTTATTATGAATTCATTGCATATGTAAAGAAAAATTGGGCAAAAGAGTTAAAGGATACAGCCCAACAAGGCGCTCAAGAGAATATTCAAAAACTGGAGAGATTCTTATGTGCTGGTATATTGAACTATAAGAGAATAGCAGCAAAAATGGAAGAGATTTACGATTTAGACCTAAAATATTTAATCGATTTTACCATCATAAACGATGGGTATTTAAAGGAGATAAAAGATAAAGATCGCCAAGGCAAGGGTGACACTTTGGACGTAGATGATATAAACAATTATGCGGTAGATAAAAGTTTGGAAGCTGTATCGTTTGCTTTGGATACCATACATTCGTCTCTTTTGAGTTTGGGTGATTTGCATCGTTATTTCTTAGACTTTCGTATAGATACAAAGCTAAAAATAAGCAAGCAGTTGGCAGCCAAATATTACTTCGAGGCGTTTAAGCTTAATCCTGCAATAGGCATGGCTCAGAACCAATTGGGCACCTTGTACTATGGCCAAAATTATGACCTGGACTCCATATATCATTATCTTTACTCGCTCGTAAGCCTAATACCCTTTGAATTGAGCGAAAACAATGTTTGTAAGCTATTCGCTTCGCATGCTGATTACTTGACAAAATTAGATCCCGAGAAAATTGAATTTAGCCTACAGGATTTTTATGCTCGCTTTTATTTAATCGTTGATATATTTTCTTTGACAAGGAGGTGCCAGATTTTAACTCCTTGTGTCACTGCGTCTTGGTAGATTTGCGCAAAATTCTCTGCTCTAAAACTTTTAAAATCAACGATTCATCAATATTCAAAATTGTTTCGATTCTATTTTTCTGTCTATCAAAATTGAAAATGATCAACTCTCAGAAAGTTTACTCTTTAAATGCTTTTCTGGTAGCTGTATGTTCAGACTTGATGGATGCTTGTATCGTTAATCTCGAACAGACCATTCTAGCCAAATCAACAGAAAATGAAGAGTTTCATACCATGTATGCCAAGAAATTTGAAGAGTTTGACATGGTAGTTAGGAAATCTCGCAATGAATACAAGAATTGGTTGGCATCAATCGGCGAAGCTGAAAGAAAGGAAAAGAAACTCACACAGTTATCACAAAAAGATTTCTCTTCAGATTCACGCGAGTCGCAAAGGTCAAATGAGGATTATATTTGTAAGACACAAGATAGTAACAAGGCCAGTAAAGATGATAACAAAAATGATGGTGAACCGATTTCTACAAGATCATCGGACGAGGCAAAGGAAAGTGATTTAAAAACACCTCTTTCTTGTAAGAGTAAGAAGAAGGGTATGAAGCTACGTCGACGCCGTCGTAAAATTGCTCAGTCAGATGACAGCTCTTGTTATGACACCGAATCAGATATGGATACGGACTTTTCAACCGATGATGAAGACTACACTGATTTGAGTTCGAATTTTGATACTGATTTTAGTGATGTTGAAGCGGCCGAACCCGGAGAGCAAGATCATGATCGTGAATGTGAACTTCAAGTTGAAAACAAACATAAACATAATAATTTGCGCAACTCTTCTCGTCACGGCTCCAAGGAAAGTGTTGACTCTAATGCCGGTAGTGTTGGACCAAATTTCTCGGATAACGAAGATATAGTAATAGAAGAAGAAAACATTATCTATCCAGAAGATCAAGAAAACAGCAGATTCCACGTTGTAATTCGCAAGAAAATGATACTGAAGAGCTTTTAAAAAGTTTCGAAATTCTGCAATTACACACTAATAATTCGGTATTAAATTTTACCAATTGCGATAAAGAAGTATCACAGAAAACCCAGCAATCCAATATTCTAAAGACAAATGAGGACAGCAAAGCTGCTAATGAGGAACCACCCAAGAAAATGGTTTATCGCAACAAATACACCAAGATAAATCCCAATATTATTGTGGACTTTGCACAGAACGAACCTACCATTAGAGCGTTGAAAATTCTCTTCGATTGGTTGCGTATTAATCATGAAATACTCTTTGGATGCTACCACTCTAATCCAGAATTCATCCACAAAATTATGAAATTATTGAATTATTGCAATATTGATATATTTACACGCAAGGTTTACTTTGAGCGGGAATTTCTAGTAACACCCAATGTTCGTCAAACCCTAGGCGATCTCTTTGACGTTCGTGTCAATGTACCACTATCTGAAGATTTTGTATTCAAAAGTTTTGATATATTTCAAAGCACCCAATTACTCTAGACTGGGAAACTACAATACGCGAGAAGGTTACCTCGCAGGAAGAGTGCATTCTGCGTATATTCAAAATGGTCGATTTCGGTTTCTTTATATGCAAACAAAAGAAGTTTAATTATCGCTTCTGCGTCAAGGCCAGGCGTTTCACTGAAAATACTAAAAAGAAACGTGAAGAAAAAAAGTCATCTTCAAGAAGACGTGAAAGACGTACCGCTAAAAATGCTGCTCGAAAACGCGCAGAAGGTAGAACTCGTCGTTATTCTGACCGTAAAAATGGTATTGTACGCAAGAGCTATACCAGCAACGAGGAAAAGGGGGGATACTGTTGAAGAATGTAAACGTATGCCTCGTAAAGGTTACCCTCCGCAATCGCAACACCGAAAAATTCAATATTAATGGTGCGGCCGGTGGTGGTACTTCTGCCTCTACTACCACAAATAGCGCAATTTGCGAAAAGATACAATCAAGCAGTGGTGCCGATGAAGAACGCTCTGAGGCCATGTCTAAAAAATGTGAAATTATGGGCAAGTTGTGGTTGAAAAATGAAGTGGAGACCTTGGAAGAAGAGGTAGGGTTTGAAGTTAAAACGTTCATTCTCCTTTCTAACTCTTTTTTTTATTAAATTTTAGTTGCGCAAAAATCCTTTGAACATGATTATGACTCCTTTTGTTGTCGTGGATGCTAAAGCATTAACAGAATACAATGGTATTGTTAAAAACTTGGTTAAAAGTAAAAAAATTCATCGTACTCATACCTAATGCTGGTAAGAACCCTAATTAGAGTAAAAACATCAAACGTAGAAATAATTTTTAATTCATTTCCATAGTTTTTAATGAATTGGATGACTTGAAGAAACGTAGTGAAAATGCCCGTAATGTTATACGTTGGTTGGAGCAAGAATTTAAACATGGCAACCGTCATATGCGTGCCCAGAGAGATAATGAAAACTTGGCTTTGTCCCTAATCAAAATACCAAGAAAATTAGGTAAATATGCAATAGATTGATATAGTGCAATAGAATATTTAAATACTTTGTTCTCTTTCATTTAGATCGTGATGCTTCTGTTTTCTTACAAATTGCACAATTTGCAATCACTTGGTAGCCAATCACTCGGATCCAAATGCTACCGAATTTCAATCAAATGTGGTTACTTATTTATCTGGCGATTATTTGCATGAGAAACAACGTAATCAGAACAACTTCAGCTTTACTGGTATTTTAGATTCTATACCAGTAAGACATGATCAAATTGCAAATTTCTATGCGAAATTTAAGGCCAATAAAAAATGAATACATTAACGACGCGGATTAACACCTGCAGGGAAGTAAGCGCCGTCGTCGTCCTAGCTACCGTATTGAGTCGTATTTTACTATACAACAAATGCCAAGAACGTTTAAAATGAGAACAACAACTATAAACAACAACGCCACCAAACAATTAAATCAACAAACAACTGCAACCCCAACAAAAAATCGTAAAAAAAAAACAAAATCAAACAACATCAAAAATACTAAAATGATCAGTAATTGCAACAACAGCCTTCCATTACTGATTTAATAGTTAAGCCAAAGCGCATATCTTGAAATCATTAAGATTTTAATGCAATTTCGAGGGAAACCAACCGATTAGCAGAAGAAGACCAAGTTGATTTAGCGTTCATGCAAAATGTTGCCAATCAAAAAAATTTTTTTAACTAAAAAACTTTAATTTTAACAATTAAACAACAATTGGGATTTAAGGGGAGGTTTGAAAAGCAATCAATTTAGTCATCATCTTAAAATTGGTAACAAAAAATTTATTTTTTGTTAAAGATTTTAAACCTTGAAAAACTTGAAACCCCATCATTTACAAAAAAATGTTAAAATAGGCTTTACAACTCTTCAGTTGAGAATGGTATTTTTAACCAAGCAAATTCTACAAAATTACTAGTGTTAGTAAAGCCTATTTTGTATATAAAATTTAAAGGGAATTTAAAGTTAAAATTACCGATAAAATTTTTAACATAATGTTCATTCAACAATTTGAAACATATTATGTTAAGATAAAATATTCTTAACACCATATTTTATTCATCATAATTATATTTGGATACATTTTGTAATTCAAGTTTTCAATTGCTGGAGTTAAGGGCATGTTAATGGTATAGCTTCATTTAATCTCTTATTATGTATCTCTAAACTATCTGTTTGTTCATTAGTTAACTATAGGGTTTCTTAACTTAACAACAAGAGGAAACTGTCAGAAAAGACAGACTATAATGTTGTCCAAATTGAAATATGAAAAAAGGTGAGAAAGTACCAGCTAGTTTAATTTTTATTTCATAAAGTTAAATTCTACTATCACCTAACTATTATGGTTAACATTTTTGTACAACATTTTGTCATTTCGACATTTAGCTTCTTTTACATACAATATAATAATTTTATTTTTTTTTCATTTTCTCTTTTAAATATTATAATAAAATGCCCAAAAATAATTCTTTCATTATTTTAAAAACTCAAAATGTTACAGTAAAAAATTCAGCTAAAACGTTGAGCAGATTTTAACTGAAAAGTTTTAAGAAAATATTATTAATCGCAAGCTATTTGCGTTGAATTGTTTATGACTTAAAAATTTATTTAAACTTTTGAATATAAAACCTGCTCAATAAAAATTACATTTTTATTATCACCATTAGCAAATACATACTAAATATGCCGACCTTAAATTAAAAATTAGAATTAAATATTCTTACGCAGTCATTTTTAAAATTAATCTGCAACAAAAGACAACTTTAATGAAGGTTTACTTATAGTATGTATTTGCTTAAATAACTTTAATAATATTGAACTACATTATCTGGAATGTCTATACAGATTAAGGACCTAATAAAAAACGGTGAAAAAATATAAAAAAAATAATCAACGATTTGCAGGTGTTTTTTGATGTTAAGACTATCTGGTCTAATGTAAACAAATTTAAAATATTTGCATTAAATTCCTAAAATCTTCAAAAAAAAACATTTATTTTAAAATAGTAACAGTTAATCATACTTTCAATTCGCTGAGAAAAATAACTAATTATATAAAAATATTCCCCATAATAAATACACATAATAAACACCTTTACAAAACTAACACAATTTCCATACAAAAAATATACACAATAATACTAACAATAAATGGGTTAAAAAATAAAAAAAACTGTTCATCGAGTCATAATAATAATTTTCCTCAACATCATAGGATTTTGTTCTTTAAGTAATTTTAAAATATATATATATGTATAACTATGTATTCAAGTTTAAATGTTTTCATTATTAATAAAGCTCGATGACAACAAAAACTTATGTATGTGTTTTAATTATTAGTTGAAAAGGACCGATTCATTGCTGGAGAAAGGAACATTTAAATAATACAAAATACTTAAAAATACTTTTTTATCTATTATTGTAATGGATTTACTGAGACTCTCATTTAAAAAAAGTGTAAATGAAAATAAATTAAACTAAAATCTAAATACAGGTCTGTTCGAAAATGCATCACTAAGGTGAATCTGATGTGCAGTGCGTTCGGAAATACATTACATAAGTACCAATGCGCTAAGAAACGTTACAAACTAATTTAATGAACTTTATTATTATTATTATTAAATGAAAGTTTTTGCTCATGTATAAAATGATCTTAACTTATTTTGCATCAGTATCGCAAACTAATCATCAGTGCAGTGATGCGTTTCCGAGCAAGACCTGATCACTACACGCCGAATTTTTTCGCAAAATGTATTTATATAATGCATTTCCGAAATCAAAAAAGTACAAAAATCGTTTTTTCAAGGAGTTCGGAACATATATTTATATCTCATATGTTTGACATAATGATCTGCTAAACCGACTTCAATATCTATAAGGATTTAAAAAATTGATATGGCTATGATAATAATCATCAGTAGTTTGCAACGTTGATGCTAATAAAGTAATGCGTACATACTGCGCATCAGTATGTGATATATACTGCGCATCAGATGCGGAACAGTGATGCATTTTCATCATTTCCATAAACATCAGTAGTTTGCAACGCTGATGCAAATAAAACTAATGCGCTACATACTGCGCATCATTATATGATACATACTGCGCATAAGCTGCACAGCAGTAATGCATTTCCAATCAAGCCCTATAACGCTACTCTTCTTGTATTCAAAATAAAACAACAATTCGTATCGGTTGTATCTGTAATTGAGACTAATTTTTATTCTGTATTTAATTTGAAAAACTTAATGTTTCATACAGTTACATTTGAGGTTAGTTATAATTTTTATATGCATATGTTTGCTAAAAATATTATTATTTTTACACTACATACATATATTACTAATTTAATGGCTTTATCTGCGTATCGGGTTTAAATTTTTTTCAGGGATATTAACCGAAAATTTATACATATGCATGTATGTATACGAGTTTGGGAGATTTGGTGATGAAGTTTCATAAATCATAAGAATAAGAGAACTTCATAATATTTTGCAAAGTCTAATGATTACAAAACTTATTATCTAATGATTTAAATCTAAAGATGGTGAGCAAAATAATTGCATATCCATTAATAATATTTTGATGCACTACCATTTGTAATCCATTGACTAATTAAATGTATTATATATTGATATATATTTATGTGTATTTAATAGTTCATTACTTGTTAAAATATGTATTTATTTAAATATACCTAAAGTATTTGTTTTTAATAATATTTTAATACAATATTTTTTAATATTTTTTCTAAAATATTTTAAAGATTTAAAAATTAAACTAACAATTTAATAATAACTGAACAAATGAATTGGGTAAAAAGGAATATTTAAATAAAAATATATTCAGAATTAAAAAAGGAGGGAGCTTAAACACATGTATAAAACTATGTTTTAGAAGTAAGATATAAAATTTAACAAGTTAAATTTGTTGAGAAAAGTTAAACTACAAACTGGGTATTTCAATTGTTGATTAATTTTAGTTAAAAACTGCAGAACGTTTATCACGGTTTTTAGCTCTTGATATAGTGCGAGCCTTAAAGGCAGCAGCGTTCATTAAGTGCTAAAAGTAAAAATAAAAACGAAAATTATATCATTAGAATTAAAAGTTATATTAAAAATTACTTACTCTTTCTAACTTAGAGGTTTTGACTCTGGATGCTCCATTGTTTAGATTAGGTTTGGCACCCAAACCGAATATTTCACGAATAAAATCATTTTCTTGTAACTGTGAGGTCATACCAGGACCCATTACAACACACAAAGCCGAATACTGATGATGTATGGCCCATGAATCTAAAACTAAGCTTTCAGTACCAAAACGTATAGTAATTTCTGGTGAAATGTCCTCCTAAAAAATAAAATAAATTATGCTTGTTAATATTTTTTTGTTACATTGTGCTTTGAAATTCTTATCACACAAAATTATCCATTATTAAAAAATTAAAAAGTCGAATTTTAATTTATTTTTCCAAATTATACGTGTTTCATTATAAAAATGCTTGTGACAACATATCAACACGATTATGTACCCCCCTTTACAAAGCGCTATGATTTCTTTAAAGCTCATGGACCAACTGGTGAAAAGGAAGAAGTTGAATGTCAATGTATTGAGGAGAATAAAATAGATATTCCTAAAGTAGTACAAAACCAATGTCCCGTAGAATGGACAGGTGTAGCTCCAATGGGCCGTTTAATAAATCCCCGTTTAATACCTACTAAATTTTCCAGCGATCAAATTGATGCCATAAATAATGAATCTCAAAACGATTGCTTTAGGCAACAACCTAATCGTTTTCTAAAAATACTACGAACTGCTTATCCGGATCTGTATGAGAGACTCAAACAAATGCCCAAAGATGAACTTAGTAGACGTTTGGAACGTAATCGCATGTACACAACTTATCAGGTAGATTTCTGCAACATTAATGAATATCCTGAGGGAATCTACGAGTCTCTTAAAATCGAAGATGAAACTAGTAAGCTTAATGCAAGCAAACTACTGCAGCAACAAGAACCATGTACTGAATTAAGAGCTAATGTTATGCAAGAGTTGGCGAAAGAAGGTGCCATTGACAGATTAAATAGCAAAGACCCCTGTGAAAAAATCTATAAACCTTTTAGAATATCATTTGTGGATTCGTCCCGCTTCATCAAATCTGGTAATAACTCCCACTGGCGCAGTAATATTTTCACTAAGAGAGCTAACTTTACCGAATATATGGATACTATTAATAAGATCGGTTGTGTCATCATGAAAAATAATATTCATGATCATCAGAAATGTACCGGAAAACATTGTAGGCATCAACTGATTCACGCCTGCACAAATTTAAAGTGAATTAATATCTTTAAATGTTAATAACTAAAATTGTCTACATGTATATTTTATTGACCAAAAAATAAAAATTTGTAATTTAATAAATAATTTCCACTCACCTCTAAATAACGCAATACATCCCTGAATGTAGCTCTTTGGGCTTTACGATCGCGCTTGGCGCGGTATTTGTGCGAATCAGTAGCCAATTGTTTGACAGCTTCAATTAAATCATTTAAGTACTCTTCTAGGAAATCCTCATCGTGGGCACGACCGCATTCTAAAATTAAAGCTAAAGTTTCACCAGCAGCCATGCGTACATCCAAATGAGGAGATTGTAAAAGACCCATAAGCTTTTTAAATGATCTAAAATATATAATAATAAAATAAAATACATATGATGAAATATGCATTAAAACTTACGGCAACATTGATTGACCACTAGTCATCCAGGAGACAAAATCTCCGGGTGGTATCATAGTCAATAATAAGCCCCATGACGACAAAGCCTCAGCATGCAATGTACCAGCATCTGCATTTACAGAGATGGGTGTTTTATCATCACCCTTCAAATAACTACCACTAAAAATGCCCTCGAAAAATTGCATCAAAGTCAATAGGTCACCAATGTCGACATTGCCAAAGAAATTCAATAAACCCATGCAGTACAACTTTTGCGCGGGCATCAAACGACACCGATTTATCTTGGACAGTGGTTAGCAAAAATTGATTTAAAGCCTTTGAAATTCCCCTCATCACCTCCCAATTGTAAGACGAGTAAAGGAGCTAATCTAGCGCCCCAAACCTGTTCGGAGCCTTTACCCACGACGTATACTCTTTCTATACAGTCGATCAGTGTCTCCTTGCGATCATCAACACAATCGGGCATATAACGATGCATAAAGTTTCGCACATACTCTCCAAAGCCGAAACTCTAGTTTGTGCTGATTTTTCTGTAGCATTTTCCAAAGCTTGCATAAATTTTTCCTCATAACGTTCATTTAAAGACAATTCATCGGTATCGTTAACAGATGAGGGAGCATTATCCGAAACATATGAATATACAGATGCATTATCATTATATGACTCATCTTCTGAGTTGGAATCGCCAAGGACGTCCTAAAATAAAGAAAAACATTTTAATTTAAAACTAGTTTATAATGGTTTTTATAGCCAACATTTTGGTTATAAACACAAACATTAACTTGTCCTTCAAATAAGCGTTTTCAACTTTCCTACACGTTTGTTAACATTACACTTTTTAATGTTAATTACAATTGTAAAATAACAAAGCAACATTATAACTTTCAACATTATGTAATGTAAATACATACGAATAGATTGTTGGAAGCATGAACGACTCCAACTGTTTGTATAATATACATACATATGTACAAAGAAAATATAATCTAAATTGACAATTCATAAGGTTGTATTAGTTGTGTTTAATTTATATTCCGTCAGTATTACTTTTATATTGTATATTGCAAATAAATTAAGTAACGGCCTTTAGAAGGAAAAACATGATTGAAAGGAGAATTTATAAAAGAAAAAACTGGTTGATTAAATAAAAACTTTCAATAAAGTAACAGAAATACATATTACGTTTATTTGTATGGTACCTGCGGCTACAAAAAGTGCTTTTTGGATTAAATATATCATTCAATCATCTAAAAGTCTTACTGATCATACATATGCTAAATAAACTAAATATTTACATTGATTTAGAAGTTTTCAGACACATTTATAACTAACAGTGGATTACATTCCAAAATTGTAATATAAAAAACTGTTATTAAATTCTCATCTACCATATAGTAAACGTACATATTTATATACATACTTATGTACATATGTATGTAGATATTCAGTCAACCAAGAAGGCATGCTATTGGAAATGAGACACACATTCCACTTACAGCACATGGTTATAACTAGTTTTGAGTATTTATGTCAGATTGCAAATGCTGTATGTCGAAAATAATCTTATTAGATATAAAAATCTGCACTATATATTGATTATAGTAAATTTTATTTTTTAAAAACAAAAGATAAGTCCAAAAAATATATACAAATACCCAAAAGCTTATTGTTCTATTTATCAAATGATGAGAATTAATGTGTTATAATTAAACTGCTTGTAATAATTTAATTATGATCTAAATGTTAACATTTGATTAATTCAAGGTCATTATTTCAAGAACTACTAAACTAGGTACGGTATTTATTAAATAAGAAAACTATTACATATATGTACATATTTATAAACATACATACATATTCACATACATAAGTATGTACATATGTATGTAGATGTAGCAACATATGTTGGTTTTGTATTGTAATTACTATCAAATAATGAATGAAATATTATTTGTAGACAAAGACAATATGCTTTGGTATGACCAAGAGTATTTCTAAAATTATAGAACATGAAAAATATGTTGTAAATCCGTATATAAATACATATTAGGATTTCCCAATAGAAATTTTTTTGTTTAAAATCGATTACAAAATTATATTTGAAAATATTTATAAATTATGAATCAATTATATTGTAAATTTTTTTTTTCAAACGAGAGCTTAAAACTAGACTTATTGAAAGTGATTTTTCTAGATTAAAATTTAAAATTGGAATTATATTGAATGAATTAACTAAAAGCTCTGATTTTAGTAAAACGACAATTAAGTTCAATTTAGTTTTGCATAGAAATTACATTTATAAACTATTTTCCGAACAATCTAAAGCATATTTATAAATTTTGTACACATAGGAAAACCTTGACAAATTAGAAAATAAATAAAACAAATACCTGTATGTATGTATATAATCTAAATCATAATAAAACAATAATATGGTTGTATCATGATCTAAATATTTCTAGTCTACTGATAATAAAATATACATATAAAATAATTTCAAAGTTCATACAAAAACACTTGTGCATTTTGCATACGTGTAGCCAGATTACGTATGAAAAAAGAGAAATAAAAAGATATTTACAAAAAAAATCAACCTTAAAGATAATATGACGAAATATATTGGAATATAATATAAAGTGTATACTATTGTTATCTAATTTAATTTTTTTAAATGTTTGAAAATTACGTATTATTCTTTAATTTGAAGATCATTTCTGAATCATGAGTTGTTTATTTCATTTTAGTAAAAACAAAATTCGAAGAGAATGAGTATACATTGATACTTATTTTAGATAGTGGCAAAAGCTTTCAATAGCTTTTTTATTTCAAAACAAATATGTAGTGAACAAGTAAAATGTTTGCGCGTGTTATGTATATGGAAAAAAACACAGAAATAAACAAACATATAGACTGTTATTTTACCTACGTATTTATAAATTTGGTCAACCTTAAAAAATAATAATAATATGATTTAAATTTCGTCTTGAACGACACAGGTTTAAGAAAATAAAAAAAAACTTATGTTTTTATGTATTTTACTCACCTTTTCCACCTTTCTTATTGCGACGCGGCATGTTGGATTTTTTGTTGTGTTTAGACTTTTCCAAAGATTTAGAAATTTTAACAGAAAATAGAGATGCCGTTGAGCTAGAAATCTTGGTGTTTTCTTCCTTTCCTAGCTTCCTTAAATCACCAGATGTTTTCGAAGACACCCTGTATTTATTGAGAAAAATTTGTTGTGATTGTTTTCTTTTACTGACTGATGATGTTGATGATGACAACAATATTGTTGTTGTCGAAGGTGGTAGTGTTGTTGGTTAGTATTAGCCTTGAGCAAGTGCACAGAAAATACACACGCACAAATAATTTAAACAAGGAAAAAAAATCTCCTTTAGACGCGCCGGGCAGTTAGTGAAGCAAAAGAGGGTAGAAGCGCGCGCGCAATTTAAGAATTTAAACTCAAAAAGAATATGGAAAAAATGTGACAGTAAAACACGAGGTAAATTTATTAACTTCTAGTTTTTTTCTTTTGTAATTTACAATTAATTTCTATTTTATAGTTTTTTGTTTTAGTAGTTTTTGGGGATGTCCAATTAACTAAATAAATATTCACTTTGGTTTAGCACAAATATTATTTTTTTTTGTTAAAAATAGTTTTCTTTTTTAATTATTTGTTGCACTTAATCAAGAAGTGGCTATGCAAAAGTTTTGATTTTTCCAATTTTTAAAAATTGTATTCTTTTTACTTAAATTTTGTACTTGATTTTGTCTTTGATTTCGTTTAAAAAACACTTGAGCTCCTCTATGGGTTGTTTTTCTAGACAAGCACAATTTGTTATTGGATTGTTTAGTGGCCGTTGTATAAATATTTATATTGAATTCTTGCACACACACCTTAGTTATTTCACTTTGAACAAGATTATTATTATTAACGTTGAATTTTGTTGTTGGAACAAATTTCATGATTAATTGCAAGTTAGTATTTGTTAAAAATGTTTTCTTTCTTCTTGTTTCACAATTTAATCCAATTGTGTTCGTACTCTTTTATTGTTTGTTGGGATTTTTATTTCCAACTTTCTTTAATAAATTCGTACTCTACACACAGAGATAGAAATCAAAAGTGCTCGAAAAATTAATAATGATTACTCATTGGTTTGGCTGTTCGTTGGCAAAAAATCGATTGCACCAAAAACTCAAAGAAAAATGTAAATCAAAAAATGTTCAATTCACGTTCTTTGTCCAAAAAAACAAACCTATTTCACAAGGTTAACGAAAAGCTTTATGATGATTATTATTTCATTAAAACACTTCTGTTTAGCAATTCGTTATTTGTTAATTAGTTGTCTCGCTCTTTATATTTTTATTCACTACTTCTGGTTTATAAAAAGTTGAGAATTTTTGCGATGAGTTGTGAAATTAAATTCACACATACACGAAAAAATCATAAACGATGTTTCCACAATCACTATTTTTCCGCGAATGAGCAATAACGTCAATATGTTCAAAAATTGCTTGTGAGCAAAGTCAGTGATGCCAACTAGTTTAAAATACAACGGGGCGCTGTTAATCAATAAAATGAATTAGTACGGCAACAACAAGAACTATCAAAATAACAGACATTTTGTAAATGTGATGAATAAAAGATTTCATTTGTTTTTGTTGCATTTAGTAATTTCTTGTAATTTTCTTTGCAACAACAGCAATTTGAAGTTAATTTGGCAGGTGTATCTGAACGCAAAATAAAACAAGTAAGAATTATAGTCGGGCGTGGCCGACCATATGATACCCTACACCAATTGCGAATATTAAATGTGATTAATTTCAATAATGAAGCATTTCTGTTAATCTCATATAGGTTCCAATAATGTCTGTTCATGTTCGGTTGTATGCTGATCCAGGTAGTGGATCCAGAGAATAGTATGTGACACATTTTAACAAATTATATTCAAAATTGCGATCTGTTGCGTGCACACAAGGTTTACACGGTCACAAAGACGGACATAGCTTAATAAGGACAAATATTTTTGAGTGTTACAAACATCACCACATTGTGCCGACTTTTGGATAGATAGTAGTATATTAGACGTAGTTAAAAGATAAACGACCGAAATCGGAAGGTCCGGATGTATGGAGGCTAAGGCAGAAATTGAGCCGATCCTTATAAAATGTATTATTGGGAATTATCTATATACATATATAAAAATGAATGTGTGTTTGTTTGTATGTTTATATCTTTGTATGTTTGTGTGTTTATATGTTTGTATGTTTGAACGTTATAGACTACTAAACGGCTAAACCGATTTTCTTCAAATTTTCACAGCACATTCGTATGTGTGATAATAGGCTACTTTTATTTCCGATCATGGCGAAAAATGACAGTGTTATTTATAATTACATATCAAACTTAGTTGTGCCAATTTTTGAGAAGATAGTAGTATATTATCGTAGTTATAAGCTAAGAGGCCCTAATCGGTAGGTCCGGTTGTATGGGGGCTATGGCAAAAATTGGTCCGATCCTTATAAAATTTAATGTCGACATTTTATATAAAATGTTTATATAAAATCTATTTGTGGTAAATTTCATATTGATACTAGTGTTTATAAGTGAATTGTGGACATTCAAGTCATTTTCTGAGGGGGACTTTGTATGGGGGCTAGGGTCATATATATATCATATATTTGACAAAGTTATGAGCTAAAAGGCCCAAATCGGAAGGTCTGCTTATATGGGGGCTGGAGTAAAACTTGGTCCGATCCTATAAAATTTATTGTTGGGAATTATGTTTATATAAAACTCATTTGTGCCAAATTTCATCGTGATACTACTGTTTATAAGTGAATTGTGGACATTCAAGTCATTTTCTGAGGGGGACTTTGTATGGGGGCTAGGGTCAAATAATGCCCGATCTTTACGAAAATCACTAGAATTATTAAGACATATATAAAACTAAACTTTTCCAATTTTTGTAGAGATAGCAGATCATTTAACATAATTATGAGGTCAAAAGCCCTATTCGGGGGGTCCGGTTGTATGGGGGCTAGGTGAAATAATGGACCGATTTCAACCATTTTCAATAGCGTTCGTCCTTGGACCAAGAGAAGTGTATGTTTCCAAATTTCATCAAATTATCTCAAAAATTGCGACCTGTAGAGTGCGCACAAGGTTTACATGGACACACAGACAGACGACAGACGGACGGACGGACGGACAGACGGACATAGCTTAATCGACTCAGGAAGTGATTCTGAGTCGATTGGTATACTTTAAGGTGGGGTGTAGGACCAATATTTTTGGGTGTTACAAACCATCAGCACAAACGGCATAATACCCTCCCCACTATAGTGGTGTAGGGTATAAACACTTTGGTATAAAGAGATTAAAAATCTATCAGCTGCCAACTAATGTACTTTTTGAAGATGTAAAGATATACAAAATAATTCTAAAAATTCGTTAAAATAAGAAATTAAGTAATAGGTATTGGATACATTTTTTGGAATATTTATTTATGTTTTAATTAAATTTATTGAAAATAAAATAATTGTATAATATAAAACATTAAAATATAATATAAAACATCATTACGAAGTTATTTGTGTTGCTCTTTATCTTGAATCCAATATGGCCCATTTCGCATGTTTTGTTTCTTGTGTCTGCATTAAATTAAGAGACAATTACAAAAAATTTACAGCAGATTCTCTCAGATTAAACATTTTTTAATTTAGCTATACATCCAATATTAAACAAATAAAATTAAATAGTTAAAATAATATAAACAATGGCGTGTGTTGACGTCGTTATTGTGCTCCTCTACTTAAGTGAAAATTTTAAAACAATAATTCACCTCATATAAACTCACCATTTGAACATTTTTTATGTTTGTTTACTTTACGAACTACTAGAAGAAAAGTGAAAATAGTAGTACTATTTTTTTGTTCAGCCTCAGCAAAACTGTTTTTTATGAACTAAGCATCGGGGAGTTTCTGAGCAAAGTCACACCGTAAGGAATTATACGTGTTTGTGTGTCGAAATCAGCAAAAATTGATGCGATTAGCAGAAATTTCCATTTCCTCCACTTATTTACAACTGTGTTGTTTACAAAACCAAAAAAAAACTTGATTGTGATTATAATAAGTTACAGAAAACGAAGAAAAAACACAAAAGCTAGAAATAACAATTTTGAGAAATATACAAAATATCAAATATTTACAAATCATTTACAAAACGATAACCAGCATCGACTTGACTTTGCACAATCTGCATATATTATAGTCATATTTTGAAACAAAAGGTAAATTGTGCAATAAATTTCTCTTATTGATACTGACATTGGTTGATAGGCCGAGCAGATACCTACCTACCTGTTCTATTTATTCATATGAACAAAGTTCAAAAAAGAGTTTTTGAAAACAATTAATTATTTATAAAAATCAGGGTGTAGAATTTTGTAAGCTAAACATTAATTACTTTAATTTGAACTTTAGCCTTTTGCTATCAATTTCCTTAACTACCCCTTTAGGGTTGAAATAATCGTAATGATAGTGTTATCAAGAAAACAATAATACATATTTAAATTTGTATTACTTTGATATTATTACTGATATTAACGATTAATGATAGTTATCGAATACCTAAATTATTTATTAATAATATGAACATATTTTCAAGGTTAATTTATAGTAAATTATGGCCTCTGCACAAGAACGTTTCCAAGCAGCTGTAAATGTCATCAAGGGCCTGCCCAAGAATGGACCATATCAACCAAGCACTGGCATGATGTTAAAATTCTATGGTCTCTATAAACAAGCCACTGAAGGAGATTGTCACCAAAGAAAACCTGCATTTTGGGATGTTGTTAATAAGGCAAAATGGGATGCTTGGAACCGAAACAGTCATATGACCAAGGAGGAAGCTATGCTAAAATATGTGGAAAGTTTACAAGAAATTATCGAAACAATGTCTTTTACGGAAAATGTTCAAAACTTTGTGGGTAGTTTACAGGGCTTAGAAAATATCAATTTGGATGAATTAGAAATAATAGCTCCTGGCATGAAAGAACTAGCGGAATCGCATCCTAACTCGCCATTTCACTCAAGAACCAATAGTCCTCAGCATAGCACAAATGGTAGTGGAGAAGAAGATGTAAGATTAACCCAAATAATTATTGTTATATTTTTATTTACCTACATATATTTTTAGGTTACTTTAAATGGTCACGACTCTACTTTAGACAATGTCACTACACCACCTGCAACACCTGTTCAGAACACAGAACTGCATCCAACGCATTCCTCATACAATTCCGTGGCAAATGAAGCAACAAAAGTCGACTATTCACAAACAAATGGTTCTATCGATCAGTCGGACGATGAATATGTCGATCCATTCGATATTCAAAATGAGCTTTATGAATCTTTACAACGTAATACAGAAATACTTAAACAGGTGCAGGCCACCGTTTTACGTATGAATTCTGATTTGTCGTCCGTGAATCAACGCGTGTTTGATTTGGAAAAGACAATAAAAGAAATGAAAGTTAGTATTGCGAACCGGAAAACTCCTGGGAACAATGTTATCGAGCCTAAACACAAATATCCCAAATGGTGGCCCTTTACAGACATTTCTCCCGTTTGGTTTGTTCTATTGATATTATGGCCTTTCATTGTGAGAAGAGTCGGTAAAATGTTAGACAATCCTCCAAAACGAAAATAAAATTGGTGATATGTTGTAGATAATTAGGTGGCTTTTTATATTGATTACAGTGATTTTTTTTTATATAGCTTGGTGTATGTTTGCCTACGAATTTGTCGACTAGCTTAAATTTTATTTAAAATGCTATTTTCAATAGTGCAAGTCTTTAACATTACTGTAAAAATCTTGGTTTTTTGTTATAATTTTAAGTTGAAAGCAAACTTATGTTTTGTCCATTCCCTATTGTACAACAAATAATGTAAAAATACAATTTATATATTTAATTTACGCTTACATTTTATGTATCTTTTATATTTTATTTTAAAAACAAATGCATATATTTAATAATAAAAAAAATAAACTTGTGTATTTATTTTTGAAGGAATGGTTCACTCAGGGCTGGTTAGTCTGACGCAAATATTTCTTGCCAGATGGCACGTCTACGGTAGTGTAACCATTGGGAAACTTTTCCAATACTTGTTGCTCAGATAAATTAGGCAAAATCATGCAGGTTCCGCCTTGCTACATAAAAAATATGTATGTATATGTCATGTTGAAATTAATCAATATAAACTGTAAACATTAAACTGTACCTTCCAATCTGCAGGCGTTGCTACAGATTTTGTGCTGGTCAGCTGTAACGAGTCTATTACTCTTAAAATTTCACTTTTACATGGAATTAAAAATAATTAAATAATATTAAAACGATTTCTAAATAGATTAGTACGCATTTGCAAATAATGTTATCTTTAAAACGTTTTCAACAATTTGAATAGTTAGTTACCAAGTCAAAGTTAAAACTTACTCGAAATTTCTACCCGTTGTTGCCGGGTATAAAATAGACAAACGCAACTTCTTATTGTTGTCAATTATAAAGACGGCACGACATGTTAGTGGTATACCCTGGGCATTTAATTCATCTTTGTCCAACATATTAAACATTAAAGCTAATTCCCTTTTATCATCAGCAATTATGGGGTAATCAAATGACGATAACTCTTTTGAAAACAAAGTATTTGGATAAACAATTACTACGTACATATATATTTCATAATAATTTGATTACAACTTACTGCCATAACTTTTTATATCCTCAATCCAACCATTGTGAGAATCTACTGTATCACAGGATAAAGCAATAGGCTTTACATTGCGCTTAGCAAATTCCGGCAACAGTTCGGCTACACGTGATAGTTCTGTAGTACAAACCGGTGTATAATCGGCGGGATGAGAAAATAAAATAGCCCATCTTTAAGATACATATTGTGATTTATTAATTTGCAATATTAATATCATTGTTTCAAAATTGACTTACGAATTTTCCATCCACTCATAAAAATCAATCTTTCCGCGGCTGGTTTCAGCCTGAAAGTTTGGAAATTGATCACCAATATTCAAAGCTTTTCCAGACATATTTCTCACCAAAGTATAATTTCTCACAAAGGACAAATGGAACAAGAAGGTATATTAATGATAGTAGTAGAAGGTAGTGTTAAGAGAACAGCTGATTGTTTTTAACACATACACTTTTATTTTTTATATATGTAGTTTGGCAGCCAGCATACTTTTAAGTGTATGTATACTGTCAAACTCTATGTCAAGGTATATTAGTTATTAGGTAGTGTTAAGAGAACAGCTGATTGTATTTTGCTCATGAACTTCTGTTTTTTTGTATATGGAGTTTGACAGCGTGTTTTCCGACTTTTTTTCGACTTTTCGACTTTTTTCGACTTTTTTTTCGACTTTTTTCGACTTTTTCCGACTTTTTTCGACTTTTCGACTTTTCCGACTTTCGACTTTTCGATTTTTAACGACTTTTTGAACATTTCGACTTATTTTCGACTTTTTTTTCGACTTTTTTTCGACTATTTTTTTACTTTTTTCGAGTTTTTCCGACTATTTTAGAGTTTTTGACCTCTTTTCCACTTTTTTTAAAATTTTCGACTATTTCGACTTTTCGATTTTTTCGACTTTTCGACTTTTTCCGACTTTTCGACTTTTCCGACTTTTCGACTTTTTTCGACTTTTCGACTTTTTTCGACTTTTTTCGACTTATCGACTTTTTTCGACTTTCGACTTTTTTCGACTTTCGACTTTTTTCGACTTTCCGACTTTTCGACTTTCGACCTTTTCGTCGACTTTTATTTACAAAGTCGACTTTTCGACTTTTTCATAGACGATAGTCTATAGATAATTTAATTTTTACTAAAAATTAAAGCTTAAAAAACAGATTTTTAAAATTTTGAATAATAAATCTTAAATTTTCAAATGTTTTGATTTTTGTTCAAAATAAAGGTTTTTATAAAAAATTAAGATTAATTTGAATTAAAGAAAAAAATTTTACTAGAATTTTCAAATTTCATTAAAATAAAATATTTATTAAAAAATTTTCTCCAAGTGGGATTTGAACTTGAGTCCGAAAAATATCTTTTAATAATTGAATTCGATAGTTCGAACAAAACCAAATTAGAACATAATATTTACTAAAACGATATTTTTTATTTAAATTTTTTTTAAATTTTCTTTTTGTCATTCCGTTTATAACACATCGAAATATTGGTCATAGACCCACAAAAGTATATATATATTTTGGGTCCTTATTAAATTCTAAGAGATCTAGTAATGTCCGTCCGTCTGTTTGTCTATTGAAAGCACGATAGAGTCCGTTGAGAGTTGTAAGGTTCGTTTGGTATTGAAAATGGGCAATATCGGCCCACGTTTTCGGATAGCCTCCATATAAATGGACCCCCGAAAAACAGTTTTAGGGGGCATGTCTGTTTTAAAACTACGAGTATAGCGATGAAATTCGACATTAATAAGTTTCATATGAGTCAAAATCTTCCTACTGAATTTTATGAGGATCGGTCCATAATTGACCCAATCCCCCATATAAGGTCCCCGTCAGAAAATTACTTAAACGCTCATTTGTATTTGACACTTTTTTAAGTGGTGCCAAGTTTTTACTAGAAAATTATATTTTTAGGCAAACAAAGTGCTATCAAGTTTTTTGCTTTTGTTTTTATTTCAAACAGCTGTTTAGTACTCCGATTTTACATTTTTTTATTACAATTATTCAAAATAATTTTGACGTGTAAAAACTTTAATTAATAAATTAGTCGATATAACAATATCTATGAACAATTAAATGGCAATATAAAAGGAAATATCAAAAATAAATTAATTGTTTATTTTTTTTGCCACTATTGTTTTACATAATTGTCTCTCAACCACCTTCCACTGGACTTTGAACTGGTCATCATTTTTAAATAAATTTAAACACAATTTTCTAGGTAAGTTTCTTTATTTAAGAAATATTTTCTTTTTTTAAGAACTGTTAAATAAAATATTGCATTTTATTTTGTTCTGCAAATTTTTGTTTAACAATAAACAAGATTGATAACAATACTGATAAATTAATGGTGTTGAAAGGTTGTTAGTCTAGTTTTGATATCTTGTCTCATTAAAATACACGTACAGACATGTTAGTAACGTTGGGGACAACTTATTGTTTTGACTCGTTGGCGTTTAAAATTAATTATATATTCAGCTTTATGTTTCAATTTTAATCCATTTTAAGAACATTAAATATTAATATAATAAATTGTCTGAAAGCAATGAGATTTAAAAAGTTTATCACATTTTTAATTTTTGAAAATATGATCTCTATATCTAGCACATATTGTTAACAAACATTTCATTCAAATTAGAAACTCGACGTAATCATTTATTTTAGTGTTCTATACCAAAAGATCAAAATTGTATTTGCTCCCTAAGTCTTTAATTTATTTTTGTAAATATGTATTTTTAATAAATGTGTTGTTGTGTTAACAATTTTGCAATTCATCGTTATAATCCTATTATTGTATCATTATAGATTAAGAATTACAAGTTATTTGGATTATATATAATTTTGGAAGAGTTCAAAAGTCAATGATTAGTGGTACATATACACATATAAATAATTAATACAACTCCTTATTATAATATTTTTTTAAATACATATTCTTACATTACATTATATTCTTCCTAGCTTCATATTTGCAAAATGTCTGACTCAACTGAACGTAAGGCTAATCCCATCAAATCTTTCCTGAGCGGAGGTTTTGGAGGCATTTGCACTGTATTATCAGGTCATCCTTTAGATACTATTAAAGTATGTATACTTTATATTATTCCAAACATCTATTACACTAAAGAAACACTATTGGAATAGGTACGTTTACAAACTATGCCCCGCCCTGCTCCAGGTGAGCAGCCAATGTTTAAAGGAACTTTTGATTGTGCTGCCAAAACAATCAAAAACGAGGGTTTCCTAGGCTTATATAAAGGCATGTCAGCTCCCATGACCGGTGTGGCACCAATTTTCGCTTTATGTTTTGCTGGTTATGCGCTGGGAAAACGTGTTCAACAGACTGAAGGCAATACCAAATTAACATATTCCCAAACATTTGTGGCTGGTTCCTTTTCAGGTCTTCTATCCACTATTATTACTGCTCCTGGTGAGCGTATAAAATGCCTACTGCAAATTCAACAAGCCTCATCGGGGGCAGAACGTAAATATAATGGCATGGTTGATTGTGCCTTAAAATTGTACAAGGAAGGTGGCATTCGTTCTATCTATAAGGGTAGCTGTGCTACTCTACTCAGAGGTAAGTTATTTATATTTCATTAATAGGTGCGTATAAAATGTATTCATTTCATGTAAAGCCTTAATACTAACTACACCAACGTTATATTGTATTTCTATTCTAACAAAACCAAGCCATAAATTAATCATTCATTTAACACTTTTGCTTAAATTTTATATATATTTTTTTTAACGTTAGTCTAGAAAGGTTTATGAACAATACAGAAAATTGGGACAGAATGATTTTAATTACCGGTTATGGTCTATATGTCTAGGTCTATAGTTCAATAAAAGATAACGAAAATATTAATTACCGAAATTATTTTAAAAATCTGCAGATAACATAATACTGTTTTGAGTTCAATGTTATTACCAAATTGTATTAAATATACAACGTCATCCGGTTTGAACTTTGGAAGCACCGAAAACATAAAATATATGAGTGTCAGTAATATATTTTTTAAAAACTTTATTAAATCTTATTAAAAAGATAGTTAAAATTTTTGTACACGTAATATTAAAATGTTTCATCTTACCATTAAAAAAAAAAAACGAAATTAAAACTAAAAATCTAGACTTCCTCAATATCTTCATTTCCCTTGAATACCATATTTTATATTCTTATTGGATCACTGCACACTATGTTCGTTTTACATTTAGGTGTCATTCGAAAGTTCAACTTCGTTGCTCGTCGCATTTATTTCATTTTTCTCATCAAATTTAATGGTTTTAAAAACTTGATATCTCAATGAATTTTCGTGCATATTCTTTAAGGTATTTTTAATCTTCTCTTCCTTTTGTAATTGCCACATCATTCGATTTTGTAGATGATTATTAGAGTTTGTTTTCAATGGATTTTGTGCGGATTTTCTTTGCTTTCTCTCTTCAATCTTTTGCCAATGTGGTATTTTTTGACGTGTTGATGCAGTTGCTCGCAAATCAATATATTTCTTGTTACATTGCATTTGTTTACGCATGACATAGTAAACACTTCGTCCCTTAAAATTATCGCATCTTGGTGCCAATTTTTTATTGAATTTAAAATTCTGAATATTGCGACACGAAAGTTTTTTGCCAGAAAAGTAATCATTAATGCACCTTTCAGTGCTAGAACCCTTTTCTTGGTTAGTTATTTTAGCTTTCCAATTCATCATTTCACAAGAACATTTCCAAGGATTATTGTTAAGTCGTGCCAGTAACAACCTTTTTTGTTGGAAGAATGTTATAGGTAGCGCCTTCAACTGATTATCATTCAAATATATTTCCTCTAGGCTCTGTTGATCGTCAAAAAGTCCAGTAGGTATATAGGAGATATTATTTTTGGACAAATTTATTACTTTCAAGTTTTTACAACCCATGAAAGCATCCATGGAAATATCCTTGATATGGCAATTTGACAAATCTAATTCTTTTAGTTCGGAAAATCCTGCAAACGCATCAAACTCCACTGAGCCCAGCTGCCCACGCAATTTTAATTTTTCCAGCGATGTTAAATCCTATAAGAATTATAAACCATATTATTAAATTTTGAAAGCCATTTTCTGCTAATTTTCTTCTCCTTACCTTGAATATATTTTGATCTAAACTTTGTATAGTTACATTATTAATTTCCAATATTCTAAGTTTAGTTAACTTTTTAAATGGCTGATTACCCCACAACTCTAGGGCAGTTGCACCAGAACCAAAATACATTTCCTGTGTTTGATTCATGACCCAGAATGTGGCAGGGAAAATATAACGTATGGGATTGTGACGAAAATCAATACGTTCTAATTTAGGCAACGGCGGAAAACTCAATTCCGTTAGTTTAGTTAAATAGTTATCGCTTAAATCCAATACTTGCAACTCAAACAGGCCGGCTAAATTGCGATAGTGTAAATCATTTATATTATTGTGTGCCAACGATAAGGTTTTTAATTGTGTGGCGCCAGATAAAGCAAATGGTGGCACGACAGCAATATCATTGCGCTCCAAGGAGAGATGTTGCAATTCTTCTAGACCCATAAACATTTCCCAAGATAACTCATTTAAACCACATGACTGTATGCGCAAAACCTCTAACTGTTTCCAACCATAAAATGAGGGCATTTGAGATTTTTTCACTTCTTCTTTATATACTTCGTATGGTACAATTTCCAATTCATCTTGCTCTTGTTGTTGCAATTCGAATAATAGTTTCTTATCGTATGGTTTGATATTTTTATCCTCTACATTGAATTCCAAACTATTGAGCAATTCAATATTTGGTTTGTAGTCAAACACTTCTTTAGGATGCACCAAGTTTTTGGGTTTCTTAAAGATTTCGGATCCGATTAAAGTAATGGACTCAAAGTTGGCATGTTGTAAAAAGTTTAAGGGAGCATCTAGCAAAAAGCGTAAACCACGATCTTGAGGTCCTCGAATTTCTAAAGTAGTAAGTTGATTTAAGGGCTTCAAGATACTGCTATTCACTAAAATAAATAAAAAGTTGTGTTATATTTGACTTGATTAAATGACTAACTTGAGAATTACCTGTTTTATTCTTTCCTACTCCAGTGTACAGTAAAATCAAGGCTTGCATGTCATGGGGTAATGTTTTGATCAATTGTTCTGCGTCAGTATCCTCCTGAATTATACACGTAGCCTGTTTTATAAAAGGATTTGTTAAATAACTATAGTCTCCTTCATAGGACGACTCATTATCCATTAAATCGGCATCAGAATCGTTGTTATTGTTTTCGTTGTTTGCATTGTCCTCGTTTTGCTGGGGTGATAAATATTTCTGTTGCATGTAATTGATCCAACGTGATATTGGCAAATCCATTAAATGAGCGTATTGACAAACACAACCTTGTGGACATTGCGGCATGTCAATTTCTATAGCTGGAATGGAATTTATATTAACTTCCGTTTCCGGTTGTTTATAATAATCCATATCGTCGTCATGTTGTAGACGATGATTATGATGACGTTCCTGTTCTTCATATTGTTGCTGTTGTTCTTCGTTCTCATCATACGATGATGATATTATGTCATATTCATATTTATTTCGTTTTATTCTATTTTGCAAGTTTTTTCTATTGTTAGTTTTAGTGCCTCTATATTGAAATGTTGCTGTGATGCATATTTTCTGAAATAATAAAATATTTCTTTATTAATATTGCACTTTAATTCACATTTATTTATATGTTTGCTGCATCTCATCTTTATATAAGTCACATACAAGACTTTTTAACATATATTTTTGAGTTTATTGTTACATAAATATATCGTTATCTTTTGAATTTTATGCATTAACATGTTTAAAAATACAGATCTTTTTAATTAGTTTACTCACTACACAAAATATCAAGGTTAATATAAAAAACCACTTCATATTTTTAACAATTTTCCAATTTAATATAATTTATTAAAATTTAAATTTTTCAAAGATCAATTTTATATCTTAGATCAACATATTTTTCCAGAAATGTTATTTTTAAAATAATTATGTCGCATTGGAATATCACAAAATGTTAACTCTCTAAACGTATATTATTATTGGCGTGTAGCGTTGAAAAGACGATATAAAACTAAATATGAATTTTGTGAAAAAACATAAACCGCCTCCACTAAATTACAAAATTAAAAAGATTAAACTCGTATAAGTATTTATTGTATGTATCGTATATAAATATGAAGGAAATCGCGACGAAAAGGATGTTGTTATCAGTAAAATGTGTGTTCTTAAACATGTAGGCATATGCTATACAATCCAGAACTACTCTACTTCGTATAAATTTTATAAGTATTGTTTTTGAGTAAATTAAAAAAAAAAAAAAAACAAAATAAAGTCTTGTGCATAAATAGTAATTAAAAATAATATGTTATATATGTAATAAATGTGTATATGCAGTAATACATATATAATATAAATATATAATTAAAATGAAACATGAAAACAAATACTATTATATACTGGGATTGTAATACTTACGCAAATCTATACAAGAGCAACGTTTTTATATTTATTTTTACAAATTATTAGTACCAGTTTAACTTCTTAAAAATCCATACCTTTTAAAGTTATTTAAAATATTTAAATGTTTATGTTAAAATAATTACTAATATAATATCCACTTTATATAAAGAATAATTTTGAAAGTTTTAAATATTTCGTTGCTTAATTTTTTGGGTTTGGCAGTCTGAATTGAAATTCTGGTAGTTGGTTAAATTTCGAATTAATGGAGGGCTATATATCTATAAGTTTTAATCGTATTAGAGTTGCTACTTGTTTTCTTCTATTGTAATTTCATTAAAAATACATCATCTATTGCTGAAACTAATAATTTGTTTACTTTTTGTAAGATCGCTTTCTACAATCTTACTATGTGTTGATATTTTATATATATAAAGTATGATGTATAATGTTGTATATTTATTTGTTTATGTGTGTTTTGTGGTTAAAACATTTGTAAGATAAAATTTGATGCTGTGCAAAGTCAATTATAATTAACATATCATACATGTGTGCTGGTTATTAACATTTCATATTCATTTACATCAAGCCAAGCCAAGAGAATGAATGTTTGTGTAAAATATAAAAAATCAATTAAATCATATTTTCTCCTTAAGATTTGCCGGCTAACGGCTGTTACTTCTTGGTATACGAGTACTTACAAGAAGTTGCCAAAAAACAAAGTGGCAGTGATCAGGTCAGCTTAACTGCCACCCTATTTGCTGGTGGTTCTGCTGGTATTGCCTACTGGATAGTTGGTATGCCTGCCGATGTTTTAAAGAGCCGTTTACAAACAGGTAAGTGTGTCTTTAAACTTTCAATGTCCATATAAAATGTTATTCCTTTTATTTTAAGCTCCCGCTGGTACATATCAACACGGTATTCGTAGCGTTTTTAAGGAATTAATGCTTAAGGATGGACCTCTTGCCTTATATCGTGGTATAACACCCATAATGATTCGTGCTTTCCCAGCCAATGCCGCTTGCTTCTTTGGCATTGAATTGGCCAATAAAGTATTCAATAAATTCGCTCCAAATTTTTAGTTCCTTCACTAAAAACGTATAGGATATGTTAAAAATTTATATTTTTGTACATTTATCACGTATCTTAGATGCGCCCTATGTTTGATATTATTAGAATTTCTATAATAAGAAAAAGTGAAGACAAATAAATGCAAATTAGTTTGTATTATTTCAATCTATAAAAATATAAGCTTCAATTATATTTTTGAACTTTTGAAAGTTTTACATTGTTCTTAGAATGCGTTCCAAATTTGAGAAAAACATTTTTTATATTATTGATGCCGTTCTTTCCCTAAAAGAAAAGTCGATCTGCCATATTTCCCTAATGGAAAAGTTGTCGTTATGAACAAGACCGTTCCTTTTTTCTTGGTGTAGTGGTCAAAGTTTCAGTTCTCTAACATTGACAGAAGGTATTGGTAATGGCAGTGTACAAAAAATACTTTACAATTAGTTTTTTGCTTTCTAACTGCAATACATCAACCTTTTAATAAAAAGAAACATATACAAAAAACAAATATTTTTTGAGTTTTTAACTCAACAATTACTTATAATCTTCTCTCAAATTTTGAACCTGATCTTCATAGATGTTCCTGCAAATGGTACCTATTTTGTAAGTTATGAAGCCATAACCAAATTATTAGTAGAGAGTACTGGTTCTGAGTCAAAATTCTTTGCTTCAGTTTTTGCTGGTGGGGTTGCTGGAATGGCATACTGGATTTTAGGCATGCCAGCCGATGTGCTCAAAAGTCGTTTACAAACAGGTTTAATGCAAGACAAATAAATAAATATTTTATTTCAATTCAATTTGATTCTCAACTACAGCGCCGGAAGGTACTTACAAGCGAGGTATTCGTGAGGTCTTTGTAGAACTTATTAAAACCGATGGACCTTTTGCTTTGTATCGTGGTGTTACACCTGTAATGATACGTGCTTTTCCCGCAAATGCAGCCTGTTTTTTTGGTATTGAGTTGTGCAATATGTTTCTTAATTGGGTGGCTCCAAATTTTTAATATTAAATTTTAAAATGTTTTTTTATTTTTTATTTTAATTGGCATGCATTTTTTATTTTATAATAATGTTAACAAAATTTTATTATAAAAATATAAAAGATACAATTAGACCATTTTGATTTTCAAATTGTTTACAAAATTTTTAAAGTTTTTTTTTTAATTAAGATATTTAACATTTTTGTATATTATTAACTAAACTTAAATTGTTACAATATTATTGGTTATCTTAAATTAATGTTTTTCTAGTGGCATGTTTTAAGGATATTTAGATGTTATTACAATTTTGTTTTTTATTTAACAAAACGCTTTTAGTTTATGTTTCCTTTCTTTATAAGTTTGGCTGCCACAAAAACATTTTAACATTAAATATTTTTGTTATTTTAAGGGAGTGAAAATTAAATAATTTATTTTATTAAAATTAAATATTGGTATGAATTTATTCTAATCGATATAATCAATAAATATAATAGATATTTTCGGTAACATTTTTAGGCAAAATCATAAGATTATAAATTATAAATAATGACAATATAATTGAGTAAATAATAAATAACTTAAGCAATTTTTCTATCATGTGAATCGAAATTGAAAACTTGTTTCATATTTTCAGTTTTCGATAAACTATAAGGCGATAATAACATGGGCAAAACGTTTAGAGCTTTTAGTTCCGGCAATCGAATGTTTAACTGAAACAAATAATTGTATAAAGATTATATTGAATGGTGTTAATTTGCCAATTGTAATATTTACCAGATCATCTTTTGGTTTTTCACTATTATTATTATTTGTCCAAATTGGATCGATCCAAAATGGCATGTTCTATAATAAAAAGGAATGTTTATGACAATTTCAGTAGAATTAAATAAGAAGACCTTACCTCTGAAGGTGGTGTATCAGGCTTAGGAGGCTCATATATAGGACACATTTGTATATTGTTTACTAACTCATATAGACCAGTTGAGGCTTCAGTGGTAATTGGTATATAAGTAGGTTGGTTTGGTATCGTAACAGCTTGTGCCGGTACTGGTACTTGTGGTGGCGGCATCATCAGTGTCGGTAAATTTGCAGTTGTGACATCCATGAAAGGTTGCTGTTGATAAATGTTACAACCATGACGACGGTCCCATAATTTGGAGGTGGGATATACAGGTGGCACTTGTTGCAGCTGAACAGAGTTTGTTGCATTCATTTCTTGTTGTGGTTGCGATTGCGTTGGTGGCGGCTGTAAACCGCCCATTGGATTGACCAAATTATTTACACTACCATTTAAATCGCAATATGAAGATCCTGAAGTATTTGAGGAGGTATTAAATGATTGATTAAACATCATCGAGGAATTAAAGGAGTTCTCCTTGTTATTTGACATGTTGGACATGGATGTATTAAACATGTTGGAATGATGCGATGCTGTAGAATAAATCGACGAATTACTTAGGTTATTAAATGAATTGCCACTGGTATAATTTTTCGAAGAAGATGATGATCTCGATGTCTGTTGATAATAGTTTGAAGAGTTGTGTGATCGATAATTGTTAGATGATGAGTAAGAGTTGTTATAGGATGAAGATGAGGATGAATCCGAGGACATAGCACGAGTTTTAGCTGGAGGCCCCTGGTTATTGGAATTACGATTATTATGCTCGCTTAATGGGGGGCGAGAAGGACGTAAAGTTTTTTGTTTGTTGTAGGGTAATTTTAAAGATCCAAACATATGCTTGTGATTAGCGTAGAAAGATAGACGCACTAAAAGGAAACAATTGAATATAGTTTTATACGAATAAAGGCTCTGATACTTACTCTCAGAATTCGGTACCAGGGTAATTTCCGATCGTTCTTGTGTTACACCCAGATTTATATTGAAAATATCTTCATGTGCTGTTAAAATTGAAAACAAATTTGGATAACCAAATTCAAAGGTTGTACTTATTGTACAATCCAATGTCGTTTTAATATCATGCACTATCATGGTTGAGCGCTGCTCCAACAAACGTATAACATTGATCAAAAATTTCATGAATCCGGACATGCTCACATGGGAAATATTGTTTTCAGTAGTTATCTAAAAAATTAAGGAAATTGTAGAACATTACTTTAAAAACTTAATTAATTAACATGCCTCAAGAGCGTGCTTCATGGCTCGTATAGTTGACTCTGTTGTGTTTTCCTTAAATTTTTCATTGAACCCTTTTATGAATTCGCTAAGTGTTAAAGATTTATTCAATTCCTCGGGGGATGCCTGGACTTGTTCATTGTTTTGATTATTTTTATCAAATTTTTCCACTTCGTGGGCTAAAAGATATTTGCTTGCTTTATAAGAAAGATTACGAAAAGCGGTATCATTATTGTGGCAAATAATCCATTTGGAGTCATCTTTTTGAAAGACCTTTAAGAAAAATTGAATTAATAATGTTAAATAATTAAATTAAAGTTAAATGATTTAATAAACCTCTACATATGGTAATAATTCGATTGCTTTTGAAATATCTTTAACTCCTAATGACTGAGGTGTTATTTGATAACCGTATTTCTTCTTGTGCAACTTCATAACGTCCTCTAACTTTACAGATGTTTTTGAAGAACCTGTTGTTTTAGCTATAAGTTCCTCTACTTGTTCCGAAAAAACTCTTCTTGCTACCTTGGCAGTTAAGTAAATTTTTTTGTCCTCATCATTAGTAAGCTCCATTTCGACTACACCATGTACCGCTTCCATAAGATCAGCTAACTTTTGAAAGCCATAATCACTTAAACGACACTGATAACCAAAGTGATAGTGATAAGAGCGAACAAACTTCTGAAAGAGTATTGTATATTGTGGAGCATTACGAAACAACTCTACAATTTCTCCCGCAAAAATGCACGTTTTTTCCAGCTCACTAGACGTTTGTTTACGCTTGGGAATCGAGATTAATATGTCTTTGCCATTTTGAACTCTGGAAATTACGACAATGTTTGAATTAACAAGGCCATCTAATATATCATCAATATCGCACACTCCATAATCGGTAACATCAAAGGTTCTATTCTGTGTTTGGGCAAATATGGTGGGCAATTGCGAGAGCAGAACCGATTTATTGCCATGTGCACGAAGAACTCTTAACAAATCTGAAGTAAAACGCCGAATTTGCGTGCGATGTGTTAAAGTAATTTGACGATTTTCTCCATCACCCATAATTTGAACCACGGCCGACAGAGCTTCGAACAGCTCTATGAGTTTGGTATAACCATAATCCGCTACGCGACACTGTTTACCAAAGTGGTTATGATAAGCTGGTATGAAACGATTAAATTTCATAGTAGCTTTCGGAGACATTTTCACCAGTTCTATAACTTCACGGGAAATTTGATATAATGGATCGGATATAGAGTTTTTCGAATATATTTGATTGGAAGAGCCACCGTTTTCCTTGTTTAATTCCAACCAACCCAATATTTTAATACCGAAATTATTAACGGTTATTTGTATGCCCTGGACACAACATACCAAGTGTTCCAAATTAACACCATTATCATTAGGTGTGATTTGAGCTTTCAATTGCCCCTCGATGCAATGTACTAGGGAAGCTACCGGTATATCGCCGGCATGATTTTTCAACAGAGGATGTATAATTTGTTGTATTTCAGCTATGGTCATAAATACATTTGGTAAGGGTTCAATTTCTTGCTCAGCCCATCCCTTATGTTGTTCTCTCTTAAAGTGTATAGTACAATACGGAACACTATGTTGCAATCCCTCCATTAGGGGAGAACTTTCCAATGAGTTAACTAAATCAGGATGCAAGGTAATAAATTTCTCTTCATTATTATCTGAATTAATAATGCAAATGTCCTGCATTTTATAAAGATCCAAAACACTAATGGAGGTTTTGAAACGCGATTGAAATAGTTCACGAAACTTATACATGGGTAGAGTATAGCAAGGAACATCCTATAAAAGGGAAATGGTTAATCAGAATAATATATGCCATCAATACTACATACTTTTAGTAGTCCAGCTACTTGACATCTTAAAGTGTTTATTTCAGTCAAAGAAGAATCACGTGTATACGATACCAACATACGCTTGTGACCAATTTTTTTGCGATGTAAATTCGAAACTACTTGTTTTGCAAACTGTATGTGTAGTACAAAAATTAGAAAAAAAAATGTTTCCATTAATTACAAACAGAATAGATATTTTTTGTTATTTCATTAAAGCATGATTAATACTTACGTACAAATCCGGGACAGTCACTTTAGCATATGAACTACCCTCGAATGTTAACGAAACCACTGGTGTTATAGGTTTCAGTTGATTTAGTAGGAAATTTCTTAAACTAGCTTCATCCATAGAGAAATCAAGATTTGTTATTTGCAAAGTGACCGTGTCATTAGGGTCACCAGCTGTTGCGTACGTTTGGCTAGAATTATATGGAGTTGAGGTCATGACGGTACCACCAGAGCTACAAGAAGAAGTAACAACCGTTGCTAAAGAAACAGATGAGCTTTTATTATCGGTAGTCGACACATTTGTAGTGACAATATTTGGTACTAATGATGAAGCTACAGCATGGGCATATGTAAATTCTGATGAGCCAGCAGAACATTGCGCTGCGGTAGTTGTGGCCATGGAATGTGAATGTAAAGGTGCCTGAACCGATGCCGAGGGTAGCGGTGCAGTTGATGTTATAGTTTGACCCAAACCAGGTGGGCATGTTTGATATATAGGTGTAGCAAACTGATTGTAACCAGCACCGTTGGTTAAAACAGAAGTAGAAATAGCACTTGTAGTGTGTATGGGTTGATGTATGGTCGAGGAGTTTGTGGTGTTGCAGCGATTGTAAGGCATATAACGATTTCTTTGATAACCATATGATGAGCCATTGGATTGATTTGGATAATAAGCCTGGGTGACCGATGTGTGATTGCTGTGGTTATGTTGATTAGTGTGCGAATCATGTGTCGGTACAGTGGTTGGTCATCATTGTGTTGCTTCCATGCATGTAGCTACCAGCACTGGTGTATTTGCTCATCAATGAAGAGGGTATTACTTTATTTGTATAAATATGATTTGGTTGATGACCATTGCCATTCTTACCACAAACACCTCCTCCTCCAGCAGCCCCAACATTATAATAACGACTTGAGTTACGATTGTTGTTAACATCCACAATGTTATTTGCCACTGAAGCTGGCACAGTTGTATAGTAAGCATTATTTGTTAAGTAATCATAATCTCCATTTAATTGCTGAACGCCCACTATTTGATTGATGGGATGATGTGTAGGCGCCTGCGCCTGTGTCTGACCGACATTGTAGTTTATGTAAACATTAGTTGATTCATCTGGATGTATGCTGATAATGAGACGAACGTTTTTTCAAAATTTTTAAAGAATAGTTTGTGGATAAAATATTTAATATTAGGAAAATTGACATACCTGTAGTAACGTTCTGCCATTGTTTTAATTTTAGAAAATTTTATTTCATTTCATGTAGAAAATAGTTTGTAGGATTTCTCATAAACAATTAAACAGTTATCTGGAATATGTTACAAATTAATTAATTAGAAGCCAATAAATTAGATCCATAAAAATAAGTTTTGATTTGCTAAAAATATATCCCGGGAAAAATATAGATAACGGTTTCGCGAAAATCCTTATATTTTATGAATTCAAAAAAGCATGGTCAAATAGAAAAATCTAGAATTTGGAAAATGGAATTTGGTATTCCTTTATTAAAATGTATAAAAACGTCTGTAAAATTATAACTGGGATAAAGGTGTTTTCAGAAGTATATAAAAATAACGTTGTCCATTTACAGACAGTGGATTTACAGTAGAAATTTTACCCTATTGGTCCAGAATCTTGCAGTTTTCAATTTGTATCTTTACATAGCAAAATAAAGTGCTTTCCTCTGGCAAATACAATAAAATGCATTTAAATTCAAATAATGAGATTTGCAATTATTATTTTTTCTTTGATAAAAATGAAATTATAAAATAAAAAAAGTTTTATCAGAAAAAAATATCTAACTGTAAATTATAAAAAAACTCACGCCTAAATTTAGGATGATGCAGGCTTTATTAAAAAGAAAAGGCGCCAAAATTAGATTATTTTTTTAGGTTGTTTTACCTTTCTTGGTTTCTTATGTATGTAGAGGTATATAGAAATAAAATAGTTTTAAATTATATGTATAAAATTTATATTATTTATTAGAAAATAATCACTTGTTGTTTTGTAGCAATAAAATCTTATTTATTTAACTAGTTTTCATTAAATTTTATATTAATGAATATTTTCCATAAAAAGTTCCTTTTTAAACTTAAATAATTTTTCTCAAAAAAAAAATTTATCTATTTTGCACAAATATTTTCAAAGACGCGACAATTTCGATTTAAAATATGGATTTTTTTGTTTAATATTATATGTTTTAGAAAATTATTTGAAAGATTTTTTTAACACAACACCAGACATATAATATATATTTTGTTTTCTTTAAAATGTTCACGTTTTAACTTTGCGCGCATTATAGTCGTTGTGTCGGTAGAGAAATATTTGAAAACGGTAGCCTATGTGATGGATTTATACCAAGAGAGTTAAAAAATTTGATCCAAGAGAAGAAAAAAAAAACATAGAAAGTGTTATACCGTTACAATTGAATTTGTATCTCAATTATGTCAAATAAAATATCGTTTACATTGGAAGAGAGTTTTTCTTATTACATATTCTTCATCAAATGCACTGAGATAAAAATTAAGAATTTTAGAATTGTCTAGAAAAATTACATATAATTAAACTCTCTCAAATATTGATTTCAATATTTTTAAAATAATTATTTTCTCCATATGTAAGTTTAATTAATATTAATATTAAATGTAATAATCCCTTTTAAAATCTGCTGTATTCCTAAACTCATGCTTTGCAGTGCAACTGTCACGTACTCGTGCAAACTTTGGCAATGTATTGCATTTCATACACTTTGCAATTATTACCCAAACAAAATGATGTTGCGTTAAACTTATTTTTCTTTCAATTTTAAATGTTGCAAACAAAATTCGGTTTAATTTTAAACAAGCGCCGTAAATAAAGTAATTTTAAGATTTTATTTCTAATTAAAAATCGTTAACTGTTAAATCTCGGCTAAATTTAAAATAAATGCCACAATTTTAATATTTTGATTTTGTTTCCACTAAAAATTTTAGTTTTCTAAAAATTAATTGTTAATTTTTTCCACTTAAAAATTAATTTTTCGTAATTTTCTTTTTCTAAAAATTTTTCAATTTTATTTTTCAGTAAAAAAAATAATTTTTCCCTAAAAAATTTGACTAAGATTTGAATTAGAATAAAAAAAATCCCTAAAAATTAATTTGTTTATTTTCTGCTTTCTCATATTCATCGAATATTCAGATCCCAGTCAATGATTAAAAATTGCTACAAATTTACTCAAATATAATTAATATTATTAAAGATATTTTCTAAAATGTTCTTTCAACGGCTTAACAAGCTAATAAATAGAAAAAAAAAACAGAAATACATATTTTTTAGAGATGTGTTTTATTATCTTTTCATTACTTAAAAAAAGTGTAAATATATACACATGATAAAAACAGTATATGTATGCATTTATCTGTTGGACTTGGCAACACGTTCCAATTCATCCTTCTTCTTGATGGCATAAGAGTTGGAAGAACCCTGGAAATAAATTAAAATACAAAAAAAAATGTTAATTTTAAAATCCACAAAATAAAATTTATTTTGAATTTTATAAATAAAAATATATATATAGATATAAGAAATGTAGTTCTACGTTTCTCGGGCACATTGAAATGTTCAATTACTTCAAGCGCCAGGATAATAAAACAAGATTACTCTAGTCTACAAGCGAGGCTATAGCCAATTGATTAAAGTACATGACACAGCATTAGAGTAGACATAATTTATAAACGTTCATTAAAAAAGGTTTAATATAAATATACAGATATTGGTAAATGAAGTGTAGTTCTACGTTTCTCGGGCACATTGAAATGTTTAATTACTTCAAGCGCCAGGATAATAAAACAAGATTGCTCTTGTCTACAAGCGAGGCTATAGCCAATTGATTAAAGTACATGACACAGCATTAGAGTAGACATAATTTTTAAACGTTCATTTGAAAAAAAAGAAAGGTTTAATATAAATATACAGATATTGGTAAATGAAGTGTAGTTCTACGTTTCTCGGGCACATTGAAATGTTCAATTACTTCAAGCGCCAGGATAATAAAACAAGATTGCTCTTGTCTACAAGCGAGGCTATAGTCAATTGATTAAAGTACATGACACAGCATTAGAGTAGACATAATATTTAAACGATCTGTAGAAATTGTATTATAATTTGATTTTATTAGATTGTTGATTTTCACTTTATTAAGGTTTATATCTTTGAGACGATATCCTTAAGAGGAATAGTTAAACATGGGGTTTTATGTGGTCCTTTTGAATACCAAAGATAACTTTAAATGTCTTCTAAGGTTTTAGTTAAGGACTTGGCGAATATTTTATTAAAATGAACGTTTATTTGGGAATTTTTATGTAATTTGTTTAGATTGTTGATTTTTACTTTATTAAATGTCTTCTAAGGTTTTAGTAAAGGACTTACTAAATACATTTCTGAAGGACCCCTTTAATACAGGGAAACCTATGACTCTTATATAATAGAGCTAAATTATTTTGTAGTTTTACGTTTCTCGAGTACGTTAAAATGTTAATTACTTTAAGTACTAGGATAATAAAACTTTGTTCTAGTCCACAAGCGAGGCTAAGATATTGGAAAATTATATATAAAAAAGCATTAGAGTGGACATATTACGACTCAATAGAAACTTTGTTTAAATTATTTTTTGTGATTTTACGTTTCTCGAGCAATAATTCAGCCATGAAAGGTAAAAAATTATTGCTAGGATAATAAAACCTTCTCTTGCTCTTGTCTACAAGCGAGGCAATAGAAATGTATAGACATTAAACTGCATTAGAGTAGACTAATTAAATAACTATAAATACAAATTAAGATTGGAAGATAAATTACCTTAGCAGCGTTGATCAATTCATCGGCCAAGCATTCAGCAATGGTCTTGATGTTTCTGAAGGCAGCTTCGCGGGCACCGGTGCACAACAACCAAATAGCCTGAAAAAGTTGAAAATATTTTAATAAACAAATGCTTCAACTTTCTTGAAATATAAAGAATAAATTTTATTTTAAAGCATGTTTAAAGATTTCTTCAAGTTCGTGTTTTATAACAGCAAACTTATTAAAATAGATTTCTTAAATTTGCTCTAGCCCAGTAGCATAACCTTACATTTTTCGATGTTATAATGTAAGCAATTAACCTGGGCTTGTTTATACTTGAAATGTATCTTTATTTCATACATTAAATGCCAATTAAAAGAGCTAAATAATGCTACGGATGAAAGACAATTATTGGGTAAATTAACTTCTTATAGCCAGGTGTTATAGTCCTTCAAACACTTGTAGTTTTGAAAGATATTGTACAAGGCATAGGTATATTTTTACATGTTTGGATAAAAACTTACTTGGTTGACACGACGGAGGGGCGATACATCGACGGCTTGACGACGTACAGTACCAGCACGACCGATACGGGTGGAATCTTCACGGGGGCCAGAGTTGATGATGGCGCTAACAAGGATCTACAAATGAAATTAAATGTAATTAGTAAATTTCTATTTTTGTTTAAAAAAATTTAAAAATTTATAGAAAATTGTGCTTTAATTTAAAACATTCATAAAACAGTATTTATTTAAACTGATTTATTTACGATTAAATCAAATTATTTTAATCTTTGTCTTATTCTACCTGTATGATGAGTTGATTACAAGATAATTCTCAACAACAGTTTAGCATAAGACAGAAAAGGCATTGTAAACAATTTATAACATGATTGTTAGGACTTACTTGCAAAGGATTTTCACCAGTCAACAAGTGAATGATTTCGAAGGAATGTTTGACAATACGGCAAGCCATGAGTTTCTTGCCGTTATTGCGACCCTTCATCATCAAGGAGCAGGTCAAACGTTCAACAATGGGGCATTGAGCCTTGCGGAAACGCTTGGCGGCATAACGACCAGCAGAGTGAGGTAAATAACGGGCGAACTTCTCCTTGACGGAGATGTAATCTTGCAAAGAGATGTCATTGACGGTAACATCATCGCAAGACCAGCGACCGAACAATTTAATTTCGGGCAATTCAGTGGTGGAGACAACGTTGGTTTCCAACAAAGTCTCAGCACCCTCAGTCTCAATTGGAGGTTGCTCCTCAAAGGTTTCGGTAACGTTCTCAGCAACTTCAGCCATGCTAAAGAATTAAAAAAAAAAACATGTTATTAGTCACAATCCATTAAGCACGCTTCAGACAAAATGTTTATTTAGGAATTGTATGGAATGTTGTTTTTCACTTTATTAAGGTTCATATCTTTGAGCCGATATCCTTAAGAGGAATAGTTAAACATGGTGTTTTCTGTAGTCCAATTGAATACCAAAGTTACCAACTTTAAAGCAACTAAAGGTTTTAGTTATGGACGGAGTAACTAATATTTGATTCATTGTAATTATAAGGAAAATATAAAAGTTTTTAAATGTCGGCAAACCACACTACACACATTTTATCAACACTATAGAATTCAGAGTTTAGTTTACATTGTTTTCTTTTATAATTTGTAGTAAATTAAAATCTTTTATTTACACGTGTAATTTAACAATTCAATGGGCGGAATTTATGGTCTCACATTTTTGACATTTCCACTTAACCTCATTTTTTCCATTAAAATCTTTAAAACTTTTTTCACTACTTTAACGTTTAAAACTCATTAATTTTTGATGATACAATGGTGTAGGGAAGTTTTTAAAATATTTATTCATCATTTTATATCGATTTAATAGCAAATTTTCAATAAAAATTCTTACTTTTTCACTACGAAAAATTATCCCCGATGCAAACAGCAATGGCGTTCGCCAGAAAAAGAACATGTTGACGCAATGCTGCCAAGTTTGTGCGCGCTGTATCCGGTTGTCAAAACTGTCAATTTATTGTTTTGGTAAATGTGGCACTCTTCTGACGTTTTTTAGCGATATGGTAGTTTGTTTTTCAAAGTTTTATTTGTTTACAAGAGATGGCGCTAGGATATGTACAAAAATAACTAACTTGTAAAATATAATAAAATTTTATTTTTTTTTTTTAATTTATTTTTAAACCAATTAATTAATATATATATATATTATTTATGTAAATTTACACCAGTTTGTAGATTTTACTAATACACAATTACTTAAACGAATTTAAACTGCATAGTAATTTAAAAACATTTAAAAAATAGAATTTTTTAATACATATTTTTAATTTATTACAATTTTAAGTTGAATGGATATTTTAAATCACTCTTTCAATTGCAGGAAGTTTTTTTAATTTACTAACGATTGTTTCTTTTTTGCTAGTTAACAACTATTACAAGATTTTAATATGTTTTACACTACATATTACATACATATGTACATATGCATATTTTACTACTTAATGGTAATTAATATAGCATTTTATATTTTCAGCATGATTGCATCTTATTGATGTAAAGCCCTTTTTACAGTTTTTTTTCAGTTTTAGGAAGTAGTTCTATTGCTAGCAGATGTGATATTTGATGCAATCATTAACCACAGCAATAATACTTCCTCTCTGAAATTGATAAAACTCGAAACTGCTTCATCATTTAATACAATTAAATGGACGACCTCACATGATCTCAATTTTGAAATTTAATAAACAAAATATAGGTATAAGGTGTTTCGGAAATTAGTAATATTTACACTCTACCTTGTAATTACTTTTAATTTTATTTTTCCATTAATTTATAGACAGAAGTTGTAGCAAAAATTATATTTTTTAATTTCTATAAAAAGTAAACAAAAAATACGTCAGTGTATTGATTATATTACTTATAGCTAATCATAGATTATTATTGATTGTGTTCTTTTTAAAGTTGATGATTTTTAATGAATTTTAATTACAGATTTTAAATGAAATTTTGTAGTTGATACTTTACAGTAAATATTTTATTACATATTAGAAATTCTTTATAAAAAAATTACAAAATGGCAAGAAAAACTATTGTAATGGTAGAAAAAACACGTAATTTTGAAAACATTTCGTTAAATTATTTTATTAATTTTAACTTGTTTACAAATTGTAAACATTCCCTATGTACTAGTGGCAATTAAAAGTTACATCGTTCAAAATTTATAAAATTATTTTGTAAAATAATTTAATTGAAATTGTATGTAAAAGTGATTTTGTAAAATATTTTATTAAATGATTTTGTAATTTTAATAAATGATTTTGCAATAGAAATCTTTGTTAAAAAATTTAAAAGAATTTGGAAAATTCTGAAATTGAGTCAACAAATTTGTAACCCAGAGACTTAAGTATACTTTTCTAAAGGGTTGAGCTAAATCCGAATCTGTCTCCAGAATTTCTCTATCACATTAGGATATATCGTGTTCTAAAAACCGAAAATCCATGTTTTTGGCCATATGTGAGGCCTCCTAAAAGCGGGATGTCGCTTTTATTTATGAAATCCGTTATATCATCTGAAAGTCCAATCTGTCGATCTCTAGATATATTGAAACCTGATGTGATGGAGAAATTCTGATGCTCAATCCATTAGAAAAGTAAACTTTCGTCTCTGTGTTTCGACTTTGTTGATGTCTTGTAAAATGCAGACTTGTGACAAAAAGCTTAATATTAGTTCTGAGCAAATTGGTATAATCTTTGGTGGGGGACAATTCTTTTCAGTTCTTTTTTGCTTTTTATATTTCAAATATATTTCTTTAAGTGTATTTTGAAAATGAATAAACTTTAAAAGTTCCTGCCCATCATTTTCATTATCACTAAATCTAACAGTAATTTTTTAATGTTTACATTTATTTATAAAAAATAATGTACAACAAATATTAATTACAAAACCATTCACACTTATTTAAACGTGAGAAACAAATTGAACAAAATTATATAAAAATATTGATAATCTTTCATTGAACTTTGTTAAAATAGATTTATTTACTGTCTATCGCCATAAAAATAATACGAATGAAAAGACAATACCCCACCTTATTACCTACACACGCCTAGTTATGGAAAATAATTTGTAGGAAATCGCCAGTGACTTCATCTGTACATTGTCCCAGTCAATTAATATAAAAATTTTAACCTCATTTAAACGCTTCACTTAATTTGTTGTATAATTTACGTTCCTTTTATAAATATTTTGAATGGAAGAAAATGATTAAGTACTAATATTAAGGACTTTCACAGTATGCGTTTATTACCTCATTATATGGGTTAATTTTTAAGTATTAAAAAAATAGGTTAAACCTTAAAAAAAATCCTTGTTTTTCAGCTGAGAATATTTGCGTAATACTTTTTTTAATTTCTAGGTCTAGGTTATTAGTATTTGGTTTTTTTTATTATCACGTATATAGCTTAAGGCAGGTTAATTGATATTTGTTTAATAATTAAATTAAGATTGTCCCAGTAGCAACAAAATATGTTGACGCCATTGGGTTATCATTTCACATGGGTCTTAGAGTAGCCTTCATAGCAAAGACAACCTCATTCTTTAATTTTATATAATTTTTTTTATTACCAAAACAAATAATTTGTTTTCCTTATTTTTACATTTTAATTGCGGGAAAAACAAGAATATGGACCACTGACGGTTACAATGTAGACCTAAATAATTAAAATTTTACAAATGTCTATAGATTTATAAGTCTATTGTTTTGTTTTTTTTTTTTTTTTGA